GATAACCAGAGCAACCATTCTTTTATGTACATGGAACCGGAAGACTATTTCAAGTTGCGGCAGAAATGAAAAGATACAACTTGGCGATTCTTGGAATCAGCGAAACGCATTGAACACAGGTTGGACAACTGAGACTAGCTTCAGGGGAACTGCTATTATACTCTGGTCATGAAGAGGAAAATGCTTCGCATACACAAGGAGTTGCATTCATGCTGTCCAAATATGCACAAAATGCACTGATAGGATGGGAATCTCATGGACCCAGGATCATTAAAGCATCCTTCGAAACAAAGAAAGAGGACAATACAATGAACGTCATCCAATGTTATGCACCTACCAATGACTACAATGACGACGTTAATGATCAAATCTACGAAAGGCTGCAGTCAATCATTGACGGATGCTTACCAAAGGATTTGACTATTCTGATGGGAGAACAAAATGCAAACTTTTTGAAGACATCATGGGACGACATGGACTGGAAGAAAGGAACAAAAATGGTGAGAGATTTGCAAACCTCTGTGCCGTCAACAAACTGGTCATATGCGGCACAATATTCCCACACAAACGCATACACAAAGCTACATCGATTTCACCGGATCACACTACTCAGAACCAAATCGACCATATATGTATCAATAAAAAGTGCAGAAGGACCATGGGAGATGTGAGAACCAAGAGAGGAGCTGACATAGTCTCAGATCACCACTTGCTGATCACTAAAATAAAACTGAAACTAAGGAAGCACTGGACAACGGGGCAGACAACGTCACACAAGTTTAGTACAGCCTTTCTTCGGGATACCATAAAACTCAACGAATCCAAGATAGTTCTCAGCAATAAGATCCAGTCCTTGCAGGATCTACTCCATTTAGAGGAAACAACTGTGAAAAAGAATTGGGAAGAGACCAAAGAGGCAATCACTTCAACACGTCAGGAGGTCCTGGGTCACAATAAGCACCATCAAAAGGAATGGATCTCTGTTGGTACTCTTGCAAAAATTGAAGAGAGGAGGAGCAAGAAGGCAGCAATCAATGTCTGCCGAACAAAAGCAGAGAAAGTTAAGGCACAAGCTGCATACACAGAAGCAAACAGGAAAGTGGTTAAGAGCATCAGAGCTGACAATCGAAAATATGTGCAAGATCTAGCAATGACAGCGGATAAGGCTGAAAGAGGTGGAAACTTGAGACAGTTGTTCGAAACAACAAAGAAGCTCGCCGGAAACTATCGTCAACCGGAACAACCAATGAAAAGCAGGGAAGGCGAAGTAATCAGCAACACTGAAGAACAGAGAAATAGGTGGGTAGAGCACTTTAAGGAACTCTTGAATCGACCAGCCTCACTCCACACACCCAACGTCGAAGCAGCATCTACACACCTCCCAATCGATGTTGGCCCACCAATAATTGAAGAGATCATCATGACCATCAGACAAATCAAGAGTGGCAAAGCAGCAGGATCAGGCAACATTCTAGCAGAGGCAATGAAATCAGATGTGGAATCAACTGCGAAAATATTTCACATCCTCTTCAAGAAGATTAGGGATGAGGAGCAAGTACCATCGGATTGGAAAGAAGGATACCTGATCAAAATCCTAAAAAACGGCGATCTCAGCAAGTGTGAGCACTACAGAGGCATCACTCTTCTCTCACTACCAGGCAAAGTCTTCAACAGGGTATTGTTAAACAGGATGAAGGACTTCGTAGACGCCCAACTTTGAGACCAACAAGAACAAGCAAAGTTGTCTAGTTCAGTATGTAAGTTTCACATTGGCTACTCAAATGCATAAACAATATATGTAAAATTAAAAAATTCGGAATAGCGTTTTTATGTTGACGATTCAGAACTTGTGTACAGATTTAAGCCTCAAGATTCAAATGAATATTTAGTCCACATTCAAAGTGACTCTGTATCCAGAGAAAATTTTAAAGGATACTATTTCATAACAACAAATGTGCGGAAGTTTCGACCAATTCACTAAAATAAGTGTAAGACACTGACACTCATCAGCGCACAATCTATGTTTTAGTTACCCAGGAAGCCTAAGATTTGAAGAACATGCCCCGTTCATCATCTTTAAATACCGCTCTTTTGTCTTTTCACATATGAATACTATGGACAATATATGAGTGGAGGGTGTGCAAACGAGCTGCACACGTCAACTTCTCGGATGTGACTATGCTCCATACTAAACGGTTGAAGGCAAACATGTTTTCTGATAACCATTATGGAGCCACTAAATGAAAAGTGACCTAATACTTCTCTAGAAAGTTATATATCTCCTCTCATTTGTAATCTTCATCATAAATATGAACCACGACCCTTAATACCGACTGAGAAACAATGCATATACCCTGATAACTGCAAAACACAATAATGAAATGAGCTTTAACAACATTGCAGCATGGAACAGTTAGTAAGGACTATGACTCCGATCTGTACTTTAGGCGCTATCACTAAGTTCAGTAATCTGGTATAGTTTTTGTTAGACTCTGTAGAGATTTATCATCTTGAAGCACTGTTTTATGTTACACTTGACCAACCCTGGAGACCATTAACATATCAGGCATATATTTCATCCCATCACCATTCATACAAGTATCTCCAAATGATAAACCACAAGCTAAAGTTACATGTGTCGTAGTTGACCTCCCATCATTTACATGAAGCAATCCATTTTTCGACACCCAACTAGGACATTTAAACAACTTTGTCTCTGTTTAACAATTCGAAAAGACAGAATCATTCAAACCCGGAACATTGTGCGGTAAATCTAGCCGCATCCATCAACTGCTGTCTTCTTAGGTACTTCGGAAGTATACATACGTTCATTCTCTCAAAAATCAGGACTTACAGAAAAAGTACCTAAATGCACGCTAAGTTGCTTACTAAGACTTTCAGGTTCTGTTCTTGCGCATTATATAATAACTCGATTTCTATATTAATATTTACTTCCTTCAAAACTCCTATCTCGCGTATTCTCCTCTTTACTCGTACCAGTACACCTGTGAAAACACCCGTCGTTGTAAACTCCCCAGTATCCGTTAACAGTACGGAGCAGTAGGTGAGCGTAAGAAAGGGAAACAGAAATATCACAGTCCTCAAAATGCCACAAATCAGGGACAGGAATATTAGACACAATTCAAGATCAGAACAGTATGGTCGTTCTCGCAGTTATTGAGTTAATTCATAACTTCATAAAAGTTGTGATATTAAAATGATAACGATAAATGAAATATAACTGAGTCGTCAAACGACTGTGCTTTTTCCAACACATTTTTCAGGTGTTCATCAATAGGTGTAGAAATGAGTTAAGACTGAAGACTGTTTTTCATCCAGCCGGGAACAAAAATGTTAATATCACTTTACCATTTAGTTGCTTATCAAAAAGTTTAGTCATAAGACAGCGACTAAAATCAGTTTTAGTGAAAACATACTACTCTGTTGAAGTAATTATAACTGAAGAGACCAAGACCATGGTTACACGTAGACATTACCAGAATGATTACATCATATCCCATTGCATTTGTCAATTTACATGTTTGTGTAGACACACTTAAGTAGGGAGGAGTAATCGGGCTTTACAATAAAAAGTTACGAAACATGTACCAAAGTGGTTACAAAATCATTTAACTGCAAATGACCCGATGGACATGGGAGATAGAAAACTATGTTTGTAGATCGCGAAACAGGGAACAAAACTGACATAAAGAACGCCTTCAAAACATCATAGAGAAACGTTGAAGGATTGATATTGAGGTTCATAGCTATTGGTAAATTAAAAATCCCTCTGATGTGTATATAAATTTTTTGTGGTAACCTTTAATTTACTTTAGCAATCGTAAGCCATTTTACGACCTAGGGTAATGTCACAATTTTCTTTCTTTTCTTATTCTTCCTGTATTACGTTGATTTTCTCTCTCCCTCATTTACAATTATCATCTTATGACTTTTTGAACTTTCATTTGTTCAACCTTTTATTAATTTCACATAAAATGTCTTGACAAGTATATGGGTGAGCATATTGTTCAAAATGTATAGTGCACATACATCATATTTTTCAGATTGATTAGGTCTTTCCACTGTTCAATCAAAATTTATCTATGGGACTAATTATTTTGAAATCAGTATACATTTATTAAATCAAATTGTGGTACAAAAGGGCTCTAGACTTAACTTGCAGAAATCCTCCACCATCAATATTTAGCCGTAACCTGATAGATTTTACTAGTGCCGCACAATGTATTGTAGATTATAATATTATCATTGTCATTACATTCGGGTATTTTAAGCACTATTTCTAATCTCATGTGGGGAAAATAACACCTCTGTGTTTTTACCAATAAGTGACCAAGTCACTTACTTTGTGACCATTCAGCAGCACCATCATAGGTAAATTGATATTTCTATGAATTCAAAGACATTTTATTGAACAGGACTAAGTAGTAATTTATTGGGAGATCAATATGGTAATGCCGTTGTTGAGTTAAAGAGAGATAGATTCTTTATAAGGTTTAACCTATCCTGTATATCAGGGAATGGGTTGCGATTTGTATTCCTTATTATCTGTTCAAATCAAGCAACAGATTTGAACCCCTCTGTAAAGGGTTCGTTAATATTGGTGTTCGAAATATTATCTTCATCTTAAGGATTTTGCCAAATCGCCACACCAGTGTGATGATTAGGGATGTGCTTCTGTAATCTAACAGTCACACGCAGGCCTAAGTTAAAGCAAGAAAGTGAGTGTGGTCGAACTTACTGTATTTTAAGTTTGAGCTGGGTGTATAGCTATGTGAGAATGAAGTTTTAAATTCTGCAATCACCACTCTATTTTAGAGTAAAAATGCATTCTAAATGGTATGGCATATTTAGCTTTAACGCATAGCGGAGTGTAGTTGTTTGTTCATATCCTCTACAGTCGTGGATAGGCTATATGGAGAAGTGAGAAAAATGAAGATTGTCACAGTTAAAGGCCATTTCAATTCGATTTGTTTTAACATACTACTTTTCAAGGTTCTGATGAATGGCTCAATGTTCAGAAGTTGTTATCGTCGTGCGTGTGCAGTTCTTCCCGCTCTGAAGATGACTTCTATCATGACACTGGAACGTGGAACATCCAACTCTACATCTTACAGAATGTTCCTCAGTAAGTGTCACACTAATGTTTAAATTAGTTCGGAGAAGTTTTCTTACTGATATTATCTCAACAGTTAAATTATTTGTATAGAAAATTTGTTTGAAAAGGTTGACTACTTATGATTGCTGACCGATGTTATTCATCACAGCTGTTCTGTTTTCTATTTTCTCATGCATTATTTATTCGCTTTTAGTCGTCATATTACTCCCATCTTAGATGACTCCAATTGTCATTCATTTATCTGACGATATAATGGCAAAATGTATTTGTGGACAGTTAAGAAACGACTTTTTTCTTTGCCCTGCCGATGATAACATAAATTGTAAACCCGGGAATGCGAATTTCTGGTACGAATCATTTCGATACAGCACGATCTAAACCCTGACGAGTCATTATACTATAATATATTATAAACCTGTAATCTATTATTTTAACTGAAACCTCGATAACTATCACGTTTTAAATAATATTTCGTTTCATATCGATAAGCCTAATTTTACCTCAATCAATGTTTTCCCTAGCTCACGGCGAGTCTCCCGTTTCATATTTTCATGATGTCCCATTGTTAACCGATACGAATAACAAGCATTACAATATGGTTGTTGAAATTCCTCGTTGGACGAATGCCAAAATGGAAATTTGCAAAGAAGAGCTAATGAATCCTATCAAACAAGATGTCAAAAATAATAAACTGCGCTATGTAAATAATGTATTTCCACATAAAGGTTATATATGGAATTATGGAGCCCTACCACAAACATGGGAAGATCCAAATCATGTAGATGAAAATACCAAAGCAAAAGGAGATAATGATCCTATCGATGTGTGTGAAATAGGTTCGAAAATTTGGCCTTCTGGATCAATAATACCTGTCAAAGCATTAGGTATATTGGCAATGGTAGATGAAGGTGAGCATTTATCATGCTTTTTCTCTCACATGTTGGCTAAAACCACATTAAAATACCTAGGTATGCACTAATTTGTATTGCCTCAACTAACATGTATAATATTTGCACTGCATTGTTCCTGTCTGAAGTATTGACAACTTCCACACAAACTTTTAGATGGGGAAACAAAATCAAGTTTGAGATTGTGATCACATTTAGATGATACTCGCATCCACGTCGGGTATCGAAGTATGCGAACCAAATAATAGTTCGTTGGAATTTGGTTCAGTCCTATTCAAAAGCTTGTTGACAATTGCGACGTAAGAATATTCGAGGTTAATATTTATGTGGTTTGGAAATCGTGTTTTACAACTTTAATATTGTCACATCTATAAAAAATTTCCTCTCATTCCTCACTCATATGTAGTTACAGTCGTTACTGTATCTATACCATAGCATCTCTTCGTAACCTGATTGTTTTACATTTTAGGTGAAACTGATTGGAAGGTCATAGTAATCAACACAGCGGATCCAATGGCTGATAAACTAAATGGTTAGTATAAATCTATCTAAACTTTAATTTCAAAACAGACATTCATGATGTGGAAACTCATATGCCGGGACTTCTGAAGGTTAGTCGTCATGTGGTTTTTCCTGTAAATGAGTGCACTACGAACATAGTTGGTTTCACAGTCTAAGTACTTTCGCACTAGGTAGAAAATTGCTCGATGTCTGAAATGTTTATTTCATTGAAGATTAATTGACTGTGGATAGTATTGCCTGTCAAACCAAGTGAATTCTAGTCGGTGGCATATGTTATTTCAATCAATCAGCCATAATCTAGAACTACGTACGTACGTACCTCAGTTCTAGTTGCCGTACCACATTACATAGATCAAATTGTCAATTCAAATCACAGTAGTATAGTTAGTAGAAGTATTAGCAGTAGTGAAAAAGATTAGGGATCGAAGATGTGATTCGAGAAGTGCAATCCAGCTAAATAAATTTGGGAAGAGAAAGATGAAGGTTATGAGGAATTCAGGAGATTAAAATTTGAGGGGACACAAAGAATGGACGCATCTGCGCCATTGCGAACAATTTTGAGCCAGGTCATTTAAAGTCTTTAACCACTCGTCTCCACTGTCTCGCGGACCCCAACCAACTAGTCTACACCTACCAGTCCAGTTGTTAGCTACTTCAGGCACTTGTGTCATGTTTTGCTCTGTCCGCCCCTGGCTTTATTCTAGCTCACACCTGCATCATGAAACATCGCTCGTCGGCGCAGTCGGTGGTTGGACATACATAAAACATGTCCCAACCACCCCACCCGATGAAGTCTCACCACTTCATCTATTGACCTGCTAACCTTACCTAGTACCCTTGTCCTAACAACAGCGTTGCTTACCTGATTGTCCTAGGATATACGAGCAATGCTTCGAATACTAATAACCTTCGAATATCCTCTACTCTTACTGTCCCTGTTTCACACCCATAGAGTAGGACGGACAGAAGTGATGCTCAGTAAACTCGTCCTTTGGTCAGCATACGGGTATCTCGCCAACACCATAAGTGATGCAAGTTGGCAAAATAAATCCAACCTTCTACATCCGTGCCGACATTTCGTCACACACCAGGCTATCAACATTGATGAGACTCCCAAGTTACGTGAAGTAGTCGATACGCTTAAAAACTTCACTCCTTATCACTAGTTTATGTGCTAATGCAAGCCAATCATGAACCAACACTTTTCATTTCGAAGGGGATAACTGCTAAAACTGGACCACCATCCTCAAAAATCTCAGAGTTAAGCCTGTCACGCCCTGCTGCTTCCATCATTTCATATTTTCTATAGCTTTTCCAAAGAACTTTCTTTGACTCGCCATTCAGGTTGACTGGAGATTGGGCAACGGAAGTGTAGCTAAAGGCCAGTTGAAATGATCCTTGAAGTGTTCTTCCCATCGATTCAATCTCCTGGGTTGAGAATGAATAATATGACCATCCTTTGCCGAGATAGTCTCACTAACAGTCGAATTCCTAATACCGCCTTGCCTGATAAGTTTGAATAGTCACCTACTGTTACCTGACCTATCATCGCTGCCTTTTCCATCGCTCTTGCTTTCGCTACCCACCACTGTTCGCGATCATTGCGTAGGCTTTTTATCAGCCTGAATCTCAGCTGACTTCACTCTTCGTCATGTTCAGAGCCAGGTGGGATGAGTTTACGAGCGTCTATCAGTTCGATGGATGCCACTGAAATTCATGGCTTCTTCCTAGCTTTATCGTTTACCTTACTATAAGATATCACTGCTGTTTCCACAGCCTTTTAGATATCATTTCAAGCTGCCTCAGGATGGGCATCACTTACTACATCGCTGCCTAACTGTTTTTCTAGTTCATGGAACACATTCTCCGCTTTGTCATCATTAAGTAAAACCGTAAGAGGTTTCCTTGCGGTGTTTTTCCTGCGTCCAGTAAATCGCAAACTAATACGCTCTCGCGCTAGGGCTCGATCTGAATCTAAACATGTACCCCAGAACGAGAGACAGTCAGTCTTCTATCGAACCCCTCCATCGGTGGCTGATAATATGGTCTAGTTGAGCCCCTCGTCGGGTAGATTTTGGTGGTTGCCATGTCAAAAGATGTTTTTCCCTGTACTTAAAGTTAGTATATGTCCGAAAGAAAGACAGATACAACACAGAAATTCGTACGTATGTACATCAGTTCAGGTTGCCATACCTCATTAGCTTAGAAACGCAACTGTCAGTTCAAATCCAATAGTGGTAGCGATAGTAGAAGTATTAGCAGCAGTGAAGAAGATTAGGGTACAATACAGTGAGATAAAGTTGGAAAGAGAAAGATTGAGGAATTCAGGCTAGAATTCGAGAGAACACAAAGATTGGATGCACCTGCGCCGTGCCGAACGATTTTGAGCCAGATCGTTCAAGGTCTCCAATCATCGGTTACTTTCGTCTGTCGGCTACCAACTAGCCTACATTCACCAACATGACTCATCCACTTGTTAGTAACTTCATGGATTTCTGCCATGTTTTGGTTTGGCCACCCCCAAATTTTTTTCCAACCTACTCCTACACCACAAAACATAGCTTGTCGAGCTAATCGGTGGTTGCGCATTCGTAACACATGTCCCAACCACCTCAACTGAAGTTTCAATGCTTCGTTTATTGATTTGCCATCCTTACCTAGAACTCGTTTGTTAATGGCACCATTGCTTATATGGTTGTCCCAGGATACACGAGCAATGCTTTGGAGACACCTATGATCGAAAACGAGCAACCTATGAATGTCCTTTACTCTGACTGGCCATCTTTCGCATCCGTATAGTAGGATAGAGCGAACTGTTGCACAGTACACTCGTCCTTTGGTCAGCATACAGGCATCTCGAATTCACCATAATTGACGCAAGTTGGCAAAAGCTTTCTGTATCCGTGCCGAAATTTCGTCAATCACCAGGCCATCAGCACAGATGAGATTCCCCAGATAAGTGAAGCGGTCGTCACGGCCGATTACTTCACTCCCTGTCACTAGTTCAGGTACCAATGTAACCCAATCTTGAAGCAACATTTTGTATTTCGACAGGGAGTATCGCATCCCGAACATGCTTGCATTGTTGCTTAGGGTAGTCAGAAGACTCTACATTTTGTCAGTGTCTTCAGCATATAGAACTATGTTATCGGCATATTCTAGGTCAAAAAGTGTGTCTCCTGTTAGACTGTCCACCCCTGAAAAGTCAGATGATGATAATCATATCTACGACAAAGTTAAACAGGAATGGAGAGAGTGGGCAGCTTTGACGGGCACCACTTGAGGTAACCAATTCCGATGACAGTTCGCCATCAGCTCTCACTCGACTAGTGGTGTTCGAGTAGAGAGCCTGTATAAAGTTAGTGTATATCTTTGATACATCTCTTAATGACAGACACTGCCACAGAACTTCACGATCAACGTAATTAAATGCGACCTTCAGGTCGAGAAATACTCCTATTGTGGGGCGTCTGAACGTGTATTTTTGTTTTAGAACTTGACATAGTGTGAATATCTGATCTATACATCCACGTCAAGGTCGAAAACCAACCTGGTTTACTCTAGTCTGTTATTCACAAACTTTCGTTAGGCGTCGAGGTATTGTTGAGGCAAATATTTCAGATACTGTATTAGTTAGTTTGATTCCTCTGTGATTGTCACAAGAGAACTTTTGTCCTTTTTTGTAGACTGACGATCAGCGATTGAATCCAGTCGGGTGTTTTAACGCCCAGTTTCTAGATTCCACGTAAGATCTCAATCAGTCTAACTGTTAAAACTGGACCACCATCCTTAAAGATCCAAGAGGTCAATCTATCTTCATAAAAATTCGGAGGGCTTATGTCGACTTGCCATTTAGGATGACTGGAGATTGTGGTAATCAAAGTGCGGCTGAAGGCCAGTTGAACTGATCCCTGAAGTGTTCTGCCCGACGATCCAATCTACTGGATTGAAAATAAATAACAAGATCATCCTTTTCCGAGATAGTCTCACTCACGTTCTGATTCCTAATCAGTCAGTCAGTCAGATGCAACGTAGAACTTGGTACGTAAGTACATCAGTTCATGTTGCCATACCACATCAGCACTGAGAAGTAATCGTCAATTCAAATCCAATAGTAGGAGAGGTAGTAAGGGAATTAGAAGTAATCGGAGAGGTTAGGATTAGAAGATATTATTCAAGAAGTATGATTCAGTGAGAAAAGTTTAGAAAGTCAAAACTAGAGGTGTTGAAGAACCCAGAAGGTTAGGATTTGAGAGAACACAAACAATAAGTGCACCGGCGCCATTGCGAACGATTTTGAGCCATGTCATTCAAGGTCTCTAAGCATCGATTATTATCATCTCACGGACCCCAACCAGGTAGTCGACAATTACCGACATGGCTAAGTCCGCTCGTCGATGACTTCATGGATTTCTACCATGTTTTGGTTTGGCCGCCCCTAACTTTCTTCCAACCTACTACTACACTACAAAATAAAGATCGTCGAGGCAGTCGGTGGTTAGGCATACGCAACACATGTCCCAACCACCTCAACTGATGAAGTTTCATTAATTCATCTATTGATCTGCCATTCTTACCTAGCACCCGATTCCTAATAACAGCGTTGCTTACTCGGTTGTCCCACGGTATACGAACAATGCTTCAAAGACACCTATGGTCGAAAACCAGTAACCCTACGAATATCTCCTACTCTCACTGGCCATGTTTCACAGCCATATAGGAGAACAGAGCGAACTACTGCACAGTACACTCGTCCTTTGATTAGAGAACGGATATCACGCCTACGCCATTAGTGACGCAGGTTGACAAAAGCCAATCGAGCCTTCTGTATCCGAGCTGAGATTTTTTCAGTCACCAGGCCATCGGCACTGATGAGACTCCCAAGATAAGTGAAGCGGTCTACACGCTCGACTACTTCACTCACTACTTCACAACTTTGCGTAGTTATTTGTCCGAAATAGGTGATTGTCTGAGCATTGTTGCAGCAGACAGTCACCTTTATCTTTTTGATTAGCAGCAACACCATAAGATTCACCCAGCTGTCTTTCAGTGTCGCTTAGTCTATGTACATGAGCATTAACGTCACCCGCCGCTATTGCATCAGAGCGACTAAAGTTATGGAGGAAGTCCGAAAACTATCTGTACAATTCATCCTTTACCTCACCTAAAGTGCAGTCAATGGGAGCATAGGCAGATATGACGAAGAGGCAACGGCGACTGTCCCTATCTTTCCGAATCCATACTGTCCCGTTAAGTCGGACAGCGCACAAGTGACTATCTACTGAAATCTAGTCTAGGAGAGCTAGTTGTGCCCTAGGACTCAATGCTGTACCTACGCTAGCAAGACTTCGGGAAGCATTGTCAGGGCTTTCAAATATAGAAAGAGTAAATCGAGCTGCTTCTTTATCTCTACAAGGTAAAATCAAATTATTGATTTTACCAGGATCCAGTATGCTCGTTTTGGAGACGCAGCATACATCGATGGCGCGAGATTCTAAAGTCCTAGCTAGGGAAGCCTGTTGCCCAATTCGACACAATTTCCATACATTAAATGCTCCAACATGTAATTTAGAACGAGGTTAAGGAGACCAGGAATAACGTTTCGTGAACTCAAATCGTTTAAATCAGTGGTGCAGAGTGATATAGGAATGTGAGAAGAGTTAGTCGTGGAGCTAAAATAGGTGTTAGGGTGCGTATGAAGGATTTTATTTTGATGAATTTGGTCTCATGTGCTGTTACGGGTATGAGGGCGGTTGTCACTTCACGGCTGCCCACACGGTGGATGTTTCTTGTGGAATCTAAAAAGGAAAGTGGATTAGTGTCGATCTCAGAGACATGGGAGCGTGACCGCAGAGTCCAAGGGACAACTGCTTAAGGCCGGTCACACACTGCCTTTTTATGAGAGGTTTTTAGAGTATTAGGTCCGCTCTTGTTTAAAAGGCCTTAACGCCGGAGACTTAAATCTGTGAGGTAAGATGAGGTGTGGCATTTTTAGGGTCAACCTTTTCTAACCCCTCCCTTCCTTGTTAGAAAACAGCATCGCTGCAGATGCTGGTTGTCCAAAGTGAATACCTTACTGCTGTCACATCTCTCTACAGTCAGCAGTAAAACTTCTCCCTCAGACCTTGAGTAGCTGCTTATAGTCTTATCGTTCTGCAATCGACCTGCATGTCATGGTAGAACCTATAGGAACATATGTTCCAGCCCATACAGCTCGGTTGAGTCATCACGATAGGCAAGCTTGACCACCATGATAAGGTGGCAGCTATGGTCGGGATATTCCAAGTTAACAAGTGAATCTCCCCATAGAAGTTCATCTCCTGAAAAGTCACAATGAAAGTTACATTTCTAACATGTCAATGAGTCCATAATGATAGCCTGTTTGTGGTCGTCTAAACTATCTTGTGATATAGGGATATTCCTGTGTTTTTATCAACAGTTGGGTTTTTTACAGTAGTCAATCGATCGTATCGCCACAATTTTTGTGAACTTAAGTTCAATATATTTTGGGCTGTTTGTCATGCTTTAGTAGCATATCTGGTACTGTCTATCGCTTACGTAAACTGTTTTTTCTTCGTTCTTATCACAGGCTACACGAGACTGGTTTAAGTACTACAAGGTTCCTACAGGAAAGCCCGAAAATACATTTGCTTTCAATGGAGAATTCAAAGACAAAGTAAACTAACTTTTGGTCCCATTTTGCTATACTATTTTTTAGATACTTTAAGGTGCTTTTTTTATTCGCCTCAGCTTTCTTGACTGTCCTAATCAAAATCCTCTGACTGGTTCAACTTTTGTAGTTGTTGTTGGAATTATCGGCCGGTGACATCACTGAACACAATCAAGCAATTGTTCATGTACCCAATTTTTAACCACATTTGTATGTTAGAATTAGTCATACGACCTGGTTGTTTGGAGAGATGTAGATGAAATGAGTTTCAAATAAACGACTCAGTTGTTTGAAGTTAAATTGTTTAACTATGAAATGGTCACATTTTTTGAACTCCAAAACCAACTGTTCTCAGACTTTCGTTCCAGAAGATCTTAGAGTTTTATCGGAACTGATTCACTGCCTTTTAGTGAAAAGTTGGCTGAAGGAGATTACCTAAAACACTGATCTTTTCAGTCAACTTTTCACCATCAAAGTTTCCTTAAACTTAACGTCCTTCTAAAGTGCCAATGTAGTAGCATGAATTTTCTTTGCGTATAATTTCAAAACATATTTTCCTAGTTATAATAGAATGGTTTGTTGGATGGATTGTCCACAAAGCAGATCGCTTGATTTTTCATTCCTTAAAACGTTTGATTAGTCATAGAGGCAAAGAACGTAGGTAAGCCGATCACATTTACAACCTTCATACATCTTGTTTTCCATTCCAATGCCTGCCTCTATTAATAAGTTCTCTTTGATCAGCCATTTCTTGATTCTCACCTTTATAAGTGTGAACGTGGTAAGGTAGTTTAAGTACGTGTTGTTCTCGCTTAAAAGTAAAATAATAGTGAAAATAAGGTTCTTACCCACTAACTAAAAGCTAATAAACTACAGCATACATTTTTGCTGTTTGATAGCAATAAAGTTATTAACTTATTATCTAAAGTATTTCTTATAGATTGAATAATAATAGTAATATGATCTGTTCTTTATAGTTTTGTGAGTTGATTGTCTTCACTTATTTAAACCATTTTGCTGTTTCACTGCCTCTTTCTGTTTTCAAGGATTTTGCCACAAAAATTATCAACCAAACACATGAACAATGGCATAAACTGATATCTACCAAAGTTGAAGCTGGCTCTATTATACGGTTAGTAAATGTAACTTCGTTATTTTAATAATTTTTCCATTGACTTCTCTTCAAGTGTGAAATCTATAAAGGTTTATAACACTATAGTAATAAAAAGATGTTAATGTTTCAAAATACCTGACTGGTTGTGCTGATCACGCTATATGTACTTTCATAATTCCAGTCGATGTTTCTAAAGTTAAGCATCTACTTGTTGTGACATTTGTGAATGCAATTGATCAATCTCAATTAGCATATGTTCATCTCGAGCTGATCGCATCGATAGCATCTTTTCATCAGCTACTGGTAGTTGGTTATATGTGATTATGAATTCTGGCAAATGAGTACATCAAGTTAACAAGTCCGGAATAGGACAAAACTAAGATCTCATACCCTACTACTGACCACAACTCGAACACTTCTGGTGTTGGAACTATGGGATAAGTTAGAGATTATTTTCCAGTTATTTTTGGGGATACTATTACCGATGACAAAAATTCATTAATTCACTTTTCATGTAGAATGGTGTTGTGGTTTCTAGCTTCGAAGTATTATATCGTAACTCTAAGCTACCGAATGAATTCTCCACAAAAGACTCAATCAACAATCTGTTGGTAATTAATCACAACATAGCGTAAAAACTGTGAATATGTTTGTAATGAAAGCCAGATTTGTGTGCTTAAATGACGTTCCTTCATTGTTTAAACCCAGTTGGCCAAATGAAACTTCAAATTCCAGCAACAGACCCCGTTAACTTTTAAACAAGTGACCGATATGTATGCATAAATATGATGTAAGTAGGTTCAAAAGTTATTTACGTTACGTAATAACCAGTATAAAATTTGGCGAGAATGCTAAACGTATGAAACCAGCCCTCTATAATCAATATCTAACAATCCATGCCCTTAAATGCTTATTTGGCAAAATAATCTATCTTGAAATCATACAGATAGTAAGCATCTCTCTGTAATACTCTTTTACTGGTACAGCACTGAGCCTCCATTAGGCTACTTATTTATTTCCGTTTCCAAATTTTACCGTATTGAACCTTCGAGATAACTTCACATAAATTTCGTGTACTTAGTGGATTTCCACCCACGTATACGCATCAAAAGATTGGATTTTGTCCATGTTCCCAGTTAATCAACAATATTTTTGTGAATTAGAGCGAATGTTACCGTTAAAGGAAGTCCTTACATGGTATCGAAAGAAGATTTCCTCGATGCTTTGCAGAAGCATGAAGCTTTTGCACGTGGGAGTGAGCCAACAGATCAAGCTAGTAAGTTTTTATAACTTTTGTTGCATAAACTTATGCTTTCTAAGTGTTCTACAAAAGGTCACTAAGGATATAGTGTAGTATTGCCTGATTACCAAAGTGTATAATTGTTGTTTCGTAGTGGTTACATAATCGTTGTGTTTACTATAATTACCATCGATAATTAAAACTAAGTATCTTACATTCATTCGTAGTCCCTTTTACGTATTTGACACTTAAAGCTGATTAAAAATGACACATAGATACATAAATCTTGCGCCTCCTGTTGTACATGTGTGAACTTCTGTTATACTGTAGTTTGTAGTAAATACTTTACGATAGTTATGCCTAAATGAAGAGAAAAGTAGATTTTTCTTTTTTAATGTGACTCAACTTTAAAATCCTTGTGCTGTCCATTCCATGTTGACTTTCTATATACTAATCTATGTATAAAATCATCAGCTTTCCTTTACTACCAAAAATCCGAGAAATGGAACTGTGAAATCAGGTTCAATTCTTTGTAAACTTAACTCATTAATCATAGCTATTAGACTTTGTAGGTCTAATTCTATTGGTCAGTTCCTACGGATCAACATTATGGTCGTCCCAACTGTCAATGTCACGTACTTCCATGTTGTTTCCAATTGTTTGTCGCTACAATCAATGTCACTTCAAAGGTTTTTTATTGTTCGTCTTAACTGTCAATATCACAGACTTCCCTGTTGTTTCCTGTTAAGATCTAACTATATCAATAGGCATTATCTCTAACGTTATGACCCGGACGTGGATCGTTATTCCGTGACCCTTTGTCTTTCTTCTGGACTCGGAACTCGTACTTTCTGGATGCTTGTAGAATACACGTTCTACTTCATACCAAGTCTTCTTTTTCTCTCTGGGTCTGAGTAGCATGTCGTGTCGCCGGAACATCGATCCTTGCTCTCGTTTACTGACTAAGGTAAATTCATAATAGTTTCAAGCATATCAAGTGACGAGCATGACAGAAACCAACCATGTTTGTAGTGTGCTCATTACGAATCATTTACAGGAAAAACGACTTGACAACTAACCCTCAGAAGTCCCGGAATTTTAGTATACACATCATGAATGTTTGTTTTGAAATGAAAGTTCGAAGTTCTAGCTTGTGACTGACTGAATTCGCTATTGTTTTTAGTTTACTTTTTAGTCTTATTCACATTTATAATTTGCATATCTTTTCCCTAATTTCAAATTTAAAAATTTAGTACTGACATTTCGACTTACGCCTTTGTTTATTCCGCTGCATAAATCCCATATATGTGGTGAAGAATAATAATGATTTTGTTTTTAATTTTAGTTGAAACTTGGCATTTTTGCAATCCAAATGTCTAATGCTGCTTCACTAGTTGACTATCGCAATTGTAGTGTTGAACCAATCATGCTGTGTTCTGCAGAAGTTAACTGCATATTAAAGTTATTCGTTTTGAATTTTTCTTAATAACAGTCTATAATTGTTATTTGCTTTTTTATCGTGACGCTACATATCTGTACGTTTAGGCCTAATAATCTTTTTTGAATGTCTCCAGTCAAGGTTATACAAATATACACATGTATTTGGAGATTAATGCTATCTTCTTTTTTCCTAAACAATCAAAGTATAAAGGCGTAACCTGATTGCTTTAGTTGAATTTTTTAGTTCAAGATTTTGTGTTTATTTTCTTCCATTCAATCACTATAGTTGATAGGTATAGGGACGAAACCATTATTCCTTTTGTTCGAAATTAATTTTCAATTTCCTTTCCAATGTGAATAAATAAGGTGTTCCCTCGAAATAAAGATTGGGTGTGTAGAAGCCTATGATATAGTTTTCCTTCAAATTAATAGGTAACGTGATCTCTGTGTTATCTAGGGCTAACATAAATGCAATTAGGTTAGTTTATTTACGTAAAATATAGAAATCAAGGTATCGTTATTACTATCGCAAATACAAAAGAATAGTCGTGGTTAGTCGAAAATCCCTTGCATATAGCGGACTACATACTTTAATTAATTCATATATCTTTGGGATGTTAATCTTGCCATCTTTACGGTTAATCAGTATCCATGTGAATAAAATTTCAGATCTAGAACAAATTATAAACCTGGATTGTCGACATTTTGGTATCCGCTAGAAAAATTATACTTTTAATAAAACGTTCAATGACCAATTCAGCTTCAGTAATAAGGATAGTGTCTCGACTAACTTGTGTTAACTCCTGCAGATTGTTTTCTAATTAAGATTCAGCTTCTCCTTGGATGTGTTCACCGATGGTGCTGACACCACTTCTCACATCCTCGTCAAAGCATTTATATTATCCACGAAGTAACACCCGTCACAATATGCATCTGTTTTCAAGTCATGACTATTAATACTGTGTACGATGTGCATTAAGACACTTCCTAAAACTAATTTCTAAGTCTCAACTATGAAGCCATTAAAATTATTAGCTTGAGAAACGAGATCAACCTCACTACTTAGTGTTCACCAAATTTTGATGTCGTTTGCTAACAAAACTGTCGAGAAATTAAGCATTCTCGGTAATTCATTGATGTAGAGAAAGAACTATGGGGGACCCGATGTGGTGCCTTTTGGTACAAAACTTTGGACCCGTTTACATTGAGACACTGTCCCATTTACTTTCACTATCTGTCTTCGACCACAGAGGAGGTGTTTTACCCACATATGTAGCACACCCGTCACTCCTAAGTTCGATAGCTTCTACGAAAGCTCTAAGTTTGAAACCTTATCCAACGGCTAAACTGACCATATTTCACACAATTAGGAATGTTTTTCACCCTTATCAATGTGCGCTAATTTTATGATTGTGCTTTTGATTTTCTCCCTCAATAATGTACGTTTATTTGACCGGGCCCATTTTCACTCAGTTTTTATGGTCTTCATGTTACTAGCGGCCTTATTAGATTGAAACGAATGGTTTGTGCATAACTGATGAATACTTCAGGTACTAAGTTTATTAATTTTATGGTTCTTCGATCGGCTAATTTTACTGTAGTCTTTGTGAAATTGTTTACCTACAAACAAAAGTTTAGTGGCATACCTTATAGTTAGGTCACATTATTTTTATATGGAATTTTAAAGTTCACTGAAATTCTCATCCGGGTGTCGTTTTGCAAGATAATAAAAATAAATATATTTTTAGTTGAGTAATCAATCAACCTTCGCTTTTCACTATACTTTATATTGAATTTATGTTACTAAACTTATATTCAAATCAAATTTTAGGTTATTTTATCTTCACCACACAATATATAGTATGTGAATTTTCTTTCGCTCCATCTCTTTCATCAGAAAAGACTGAAAGTATTTCAACAGTGCTGTTGCTGTAGTACATTCGTAAACATTATCAATTCTGGTTGCAACTGCTCAATAACTTTAATTTTTTGTCCCAAGTGCACTAAACACTTAACTACGCTGATGTTCTTTAGAATCAACTAAGACTTTTAAAAATTATTGACCAATAATCCATAAAGGCTACCATTTTTCGCAAAGTTCGACAATAGATTAGCTCCTTGTATAATTGATTTGTGTCATCTCTGACTTACTTAAGTGTACACTACAGAGAAAGCGATTTCTCACTTATGTTCTATCATAACTGAGAAACTGAAATTCATGAGTGTATTGCCTTTCGTAAGATATACTTCTTCGCGGGAGAACAAATCTTACTCCCGGACTCAAAGAATCAAGAAAGAAACAGATTCTAGATGAAGTATATTTGATACTGGCCTCGTGATATCGAAATAATATCGAGACAAAAGGGCGTACAGAAAGCTAACGTCCACCCACGAGACGTACGAAGAGGAGAAAGGGAATAACACGCATGGCGCGCGGGAGATAGTTCTTAGTACAGATAAACAAGAGGTGTACAGTATAACAATTATTGTCAGAATTAGGTACAATAATAAATGTTTATATTTCAGAAGTTGTGTTTTCTTCGTAAAAGTAAATCACTACAAGTGATTGCTCTTGAGCTATAAAGTCTTAAAAGTGGTCTCATCCTACCTAGTATATATAAACAGTGTCTAATGGTAATCACAGTTTAGACATAAAGTGCGGATTTTTAAAGAAACAAACAATATGAAAAAAATAACAGACAGACAGATACAACGCAGAACTTCGTGCATAAGTACATCAGTTCAGGTTGCCATGCCCCATCAGCACAGAGACGTAACTGTCAGTTCAAATCCATGAGTGATGTCGATAGTAGAATTATTAGCAGCAATGGAGTAGATTTAGGGGCAAAGATATGATTCAGAAAGTATAATTCAATGAGATAGCTTTATGAAGGCGAAAGATGAAGATGATGAGGAATTCAGAAGATTGTAATTTGAGAGAACACAATGAAAGAATGCACATGGGCCATTGCAAACGATTCTTAGTTATGTCGTTCAAGGTCTTTAACCATTAATGACTTTCGTCTCGCGGACCCCAAACAGGTAGCCTACATCTACCAACATGACTCAGTCCACTTGTCAGTGACTTCATGGATTTGTGCCATGTTTTGGTTTGGCCGTCCAAGTCTCGCATCTGTACAGTAGGACAGAGCGAACTGCTGCACAGTACACTCGTCCTTTGGTTAACAAGCGGATATCTCACCTGCGCCATAAGTGACGCAGGTTGGCAGAAGCCAATCGAGCCTTCTGTATCAGAGCTGAGATTTTGTCAGTCACCAGGCCATCAGCACTGATGAGACTCCCAAGATAAGTGAAGAGGTCTACATGCTCGACTACTTCACTCCCTATCACTAGTTCAGATGCCGATGAAACCCAATCTTGAAGCAACATTTTGCATTTCGAGGGGGAAAACCGCATCCCGAACATGCTTGCATTGTTGCTTAGGGTGGTCAGAAGACTCTGCATTTTGTCAGCATCTTCACCATGTAGGACAATGTCATCGGCATATTCTAAGTCAATAAGCGAGCCACCTGGTAAAAGGTCTACTCCTGAAAATTCAGACGAGGATAATGTTATGTCTAGGATCATGTCTATGATAAAATTAAACAAAAATGGAGAAAGTGGACATCCCTGACGGACACCACTTGATGTAGAGAATTCCGGTGACAGTTCGCCATAAGCTCTCACTCGACCAGTGGTGTTCGAGTAAAGGGCTTGTATAAGGTTAGTGTACTTCTTTGGTACACCTTTCAGTGACAGACACTACCACAGAACCTCACGATCCACTGAGTCAAATGCCGCTTTTAGGCCCAGGAAGACAACTATTTTAGAACGCCTAAATTCTCCAACTTGTAGTCTAGAGCGGGGTTTCAGGAGACCAGAAATGACGTTCCATGAACTCGCATCGTTTGCATTAGCGTTGCAGTGTGATAAAGGAATGTGAGAAGAGTTAGTCGTGGAGATAAGAGAGGTATTAGGGGCTGTAGGAAGGATTTGATTTTGACCGATTTGGTCTCGTGTGCTGGTACGGGTATGAGGATGGTTGTCGCTTCCCGGCGGCCCACACAGTGGAAAGTTGTTTCTTGAGGTACTTGAAAAGGAAGATAGATTAGTGTTTGTCTTAGAGACCTGGGTGCGTGACCACAGAGTCCAAGGGACAACCTCTTGAGACCGGTCACGCACTGCCTTTTTATGAAGGGATTTTTGAGTATGAACTCCGCACTGAAAAGCCCTTAGTGGGCACTCATACCGACGGAGGCGGAATTCCGTGAGGTAGGGTGTGACATTTTTAGGGCCAACCTTTTCTAACCCCTCCCTTCCTTGTGAGAAGGCAGCATCGCTGCAGTTACTGGTTGTCGGAGGGTAAATCCTAACTGCTGTCACACCTCTCTGCAGTCAGCAGTACGCCTTCGCCGTCAGACCTTGGGTAGCTGCTCTTAGTCTCACCGTTCCTCAATCGACCTGCCTGACATTGTAGAACCTTCAGGAACATAAGTTCCAGCCTGTATAGCTCGGTTGTGTCATCAAGATAGGCAAGCCTGACCACTTCGTCAAGGTAGCAGCTACTGTCAGGTGAAAAAATAACACGTAAGGTTACCTACTTGCATCAGTGGCGTAAATGTTTTGTAGTTCATTGGAAATATTTCCAGATATATGATTCATGATTGCCTTAGAGACTAATACGTCAGATCATCCTAACGTGACGGTGTGCACATTTCTAAACCCATTGCCAAACTTTAGCTCCGAACAGACCAACTTGATGACCCTCCTGAACGTTACATTGATACAAATGTGGCAGGTCTGGTTCTGAATAGTGTTGAAATCCATGTATCTTTGTGTATGCGTTTGTGTGGGAATATTGTACCGCCGATGACCAGTTTGTTGAAGGCACATAAGTTTGCAAATCTCGCACCTTTTTCATTACCTCCTCTCAGTGCATGTCGTCCTATGATGTCTTCATATCCAGTGTTGTCCATGCCAAACATAGCAGATTCGTCAAATCCTATGATGAAAATATTTCGATGATTGACCGCAGCATGAATTGAACTAGAACGTCTTCATTGTAGTCGTTGGTAGGTGCATAGCATTGTATAACGTTCATTGTTGTCTTCTTTCTTTGTTTAGAAAAATGCTTTGGTGATCCTGATGATCCCATACTGTAAGTGCTCTTTGTGATTCTTTAGACAGCGTCAGCGCAAATCCTAGTGTGTGCCAGGCATTTTCTTTTTCATGACCGTAATATAACAGCAGTTCCCCCTGAAGGTTGTCTTAGTTGTCCTACCTGCGTTCAACGTGTTTCACTGAGTCCACATACCTCCAAGTTGTATCTTTTCATTTCCGCAGCACATTGGAATAGTCTTCTGGCCTCCCACCATCTTCAAACCTTTCGTTCACCTAAAAGAATGGTTGATCTGGTGTTGAGAAAGGGCATCGTCCTCGTGGCTTGCGAAAAAATTCGGCTATCATCATGAGACGTCATAACTCTAATGAATGAAGACCTAACCTCAAGGGCAGAGTGGAAATGGTTTGAATTATGTTTTCTGGTTAGCGTTTGTTTAGTGAGTTAGTATTCTTTTTCATGGATGGAGTATAACATAAGCTACCTTGACGATAGCCTTTTTTATCCAGCGTCCTTCTAACGTGTACCATCGAATTTTACGCTTTAATTCCATCTAAGTTTCAATTATTCTCCCGATTCTTCACAGTTTTCGAAAATTAAATGTATGCGGAATTATTTTACCTTTTTCGTCAGAGGGCTCTTTCATCTCACTACTTCCTAGGGAACTCGACCTTCATCCTCAATCTAACTCTCACAGCAGATTTTAAAATCTTTGATTATCTTTTTGGATTAAGGTTTCTTTAGCGATTTAATTTTTTTGAATGTTTCGGGTCAGTAAACCCTCGCTAATCCTCTCTTTTCATCTAGGCTCGGGTCCAGCAGTAACCACAGATTTTCTCCGGAAGAAAATGACCGTTCGCGGATGCCAGCTGTAGATTTGAAATATTCTAGTGCAACTTCGTCAAGTAAGAAATTTTGTCGTATCGTCGGATCTGAATATATTACCATACTGAGTGTGCATTTTCGCATTACATACATTGAACGTTCTTATTTACTTTGGCGTACTTATGAAGTTTATCCACTCGTGCTGTCAGTAAAAATAATAATTATTATTATTATTTATTCTCAAATAACAAACATGTTACAAGCGAAATGCCAATTTAGAGTCAAGATCAAAATGTTAAGATTAGCAGCATATTTCTTTTAAAACGGTATACAGTTACTGAAATATTTCACGAGATTGATTGGATTCCTATGGATGGAATGTACAATGAGAATAACTGGCGCGAGTTACGAAGTTTGCTTTACGACTATCATCTTATTGACTGCGAAACGATGTATGGTAGAGGTAGGTTTGCAAATAACAAGAATTGATGCGGTATATGTGCAGAGGTCTGGTTGATATTCATCCGCTAATGATTTTACAGGCTCCTAAGTATGGTAATATCCAGACTAGTATATGAGGATTGAAATAGGGTGCTGAAAAAAGAGAAATAAAGAGAACGGGACGAGGAGCGGAACAGAAAATATTCTTGTTTAAAGCCGAACAACGACTTGGCACATACGTTCATGAATAAAACAAATGTTTGTTTACTCATACTTTTTTTCAATATCAGAACACTAACTGTACACCTGCACTTATGTAGGTTAATAAAGATAATTCATTAGTGAGAAAACTAATGGGAAGTTAGTCGTATGAATAGAGGAAATTCAGAAGGACCAAGTTGTTAGCAATAATGTTGAATTACAGAATATAATAATGAGGCAGAGTTATATAAAGCATTTATGGTATTTTATTTATTCTGTTTCTTTTTATGTCTCTAGCTCAAGAAGTCATGTGTGAGCTCTTTTTCAGTATAGTTGTCCAGACTAGCTTGTAATAGGATTTCTCGGTAGGAAGTAAAAACCAGTGCAAGGTTACAGACATGAGTCGTGGACGAGGTTAACAAGGAAAAGCAACATCAATATCACTGATTCGTTATATCCTGCTATATCGTAAGGAGCCTTAAGCAAACAAAATGTTCTGTCATACAGACATGGGTAGATTGGGGTTATCGCCCCACCGTCATGAATGCTGGTCAGATACATCACCCTCTCTCCTTTTGTGATGTTAGGTTCTCTTGCGTTTAATGGTTGATTGTAGATAAAGTTTTCTAGTCTAGTCTCTATTTTTTTGTACACCTTATCGGAATGCACTCTCTCTACTAGCTCCATATTACAAGCAATTCATACAGCTTTGCTAGACAATATATCCACATAGCATATATCACACTGATTTTAAGTAAAATAATGGTATAATTTGTAAGATGTGTCAGTTAATAGGTAGTTTGGAGACAGCAAGGACAGGGAGCTGGAAAGAGGAGAAAGAAAAAAGAGTTGAAATGATGTTAAAAATTATTGAGTAAAGCAATAGGTTGGTAAGCAGGCAAGGTGTTTGGATGTTAATGAATTGGGGAAATAAAAATTTGTTAAACTATTAATACTTAAACAAGAAGGAACTCACAATGATACACAGAGTGTGAGTTCCTTCTAATTGACAGTAGTTGATCAGCATCTACAGGCTTTTCAATTTGTCTGTCTACTAGAAATACAAACTGAGACTTATTTGAAGATATAAAAGTAATTATTGGAATTACTTTTAGAGAAAAGTCACGGGTAACACTTCAAAGGCGTAACCTATTACTGTTAGTAGGAGCAGGGGGATTTGTCTATCATTTCGTGATACATGTATGGGTGGTAATGAGGACACAATATGTTCATAGTCTATAATTCGTTTCTGAGGTTTATCTAAATATTTGGTGGACCATAAAAGAGTGCCTGGTGACTTGCTGTGAGTTCCGGGAATAGTCGATAAATCTCTTAAGTATCTAGCAACAGCATGACTAGTTTCTTGTACTTAGTGATTGTGTCACAGATACGGATAGTAATTGGTAACCTGTTCCACAATAGACCACATCGTATTATAAAGAAATTACAACGCAATGATTTCTTGTATTTTGCCGTAAATAATGTATATGCGTTGTTTCGAAGTCTGTATTCAGTCTCGTGGTTGATAATTGGGCGGCATTTTACGAACAAAAGACCATTTATCAGTTTATAGAGGAGCATTAGGTTGTTTCTGAGACGACGGCGCCATAGAGGTTCTAGGGAAAGATGCTTGCATCTTTCTGTGTAGTCGAAGTTATGGCTCAATCCGAGCAGTCACCGGGTGAAGCTTCTTTGTACATTTTCCACTCTCATTTTGTCCATGATATTCAAGTTTGAAAAGATGAGTGAACAATATTCAAGTGTGGGCCTAATACAGATTTTGAAGAGAGTAAGCTAAGCCTCACTTGCCAAGAAGTTCCTGTTTATTAACCCAATCAGCCGTTCAGATTCAGAGATAATGGTTGAGGCATGTTCTTTGAATTTCAGGCTTCTAGATTAACTAATACCAAGGTCACGCGCAGATATAAGTGTCTGAACCCTACATTTTTGTGAGTAGAGTAGTGTGTCATGGTGACGCTTACTAAAATGGATTATGCCACATTTGTTGTGGTTAAATTGTAGTTGCCATGTGTCGCTCCGGGAAGTTAAGTTATCAAGATTACTCTGCATCCTGGCTACATCTTCGTCCAGATCTTCTGGCTTACAGCTGTATACTGTTTTCAGATCATCAGCATATAAGTACGCTGTTCCAAATCTTATAGTATTACATATATCGTTTATGTACATCAGAAACAAGAATGGAGCTAAGACACTTCCCTGGATAACTCCACTGGTTATTGGTCTTGGTGATGAAAGACAGTCGTTGTATTTAACTATTTGTTTTCGCCCATTTAGGAATCAAGCAAACCATAAATGTAGTGATTCAATGATTCAGAATGACTTCAGTTTAAGTAGAAGCCTTTTGTGTGGGACTTTATCAAAAGCCTTTTTAAAATCGAAGAAAAGGACTGATACCAGAAGCCGTTTGTCTTGTTTATGCTTGATATCATTGAAATAATCTTACAGACATGTATAACGCGACCTGGACCTCAAAAACCCATGCTGTGAGGTCGATATCAGATCGTGACTAAGTAGATGTTGTATTAACCCTGCCTTAACTACTTTCTCCATAACCCTAGATACTACTGAAGTTATGTTTATAGGTCGGTTATTATCAACGTTTGCTGTAGGCCCAGATTTTATAGTGGGGATGATATGTGTAGTCTTCCAGTTACCAGGGTAACACTGTGGAGAGAGATATAGTAAATAGTTTGAGAAGAATAACACGGATCATTGCTACTATTTTCCAGCCTCCTGTCTGGGATACCATCTGGTACTTCAATCTAAGAGTGCTTCAGTGCACTAATCGCCTTAGAAATTTTCTGTACACTAAATTCAACACTGGTGATTTCACAGGAGGCAGTTTGGGTGAGGTGTGACTCATTTGTAGAGTTTCCGTTTATTAATGTGGCACAAAAATGTTCGCTAAACAACTATGCAATATTTTTAGGGTCTTCATGCACTTGATTGTCCTTAATAAATATGCTCCCTCTTTTCACTTTAGAGCATTTAAGTTTATTCCGAAGGAGTTTTATAAGTGCAGAGGGTTCATTGTTCAGCTGAACATCTCACTCTTCCTGTGCGATTGCCTCGACACATAATTCGGTCATCGCTACTAATGAGAAGTCATTACAGTTATGGAGTCTGAAAGCAAGTCTGCGAAGACGTTTTCTTATATGACCTGGCACATATAAGTCCTTAGGAATTCTGGGTCTCCAGGATTCTAAAGGTGCAAATTTGTTGAATATGCTATTTGTGTTGTGATAAAATACATTCATTAGTTCGTCAATATTGTGTGCGGTAAAGTAGTTGGTCCAGACAATGCTTCTGATGCAATTTCGGAAGTTTGACTATTCAATCCTACGAAAGTCCCTAAGGAGTGTAGTGGATTTACATTTTATAGTTGTAGCTCCTGTATCAAGGATGCATATGACCATATTATGATTGCTACCTGGGAACGTTTTTCCAACATTTACAGTGTGAGGAATGAGATTGCTGGTGAATACTAAATCCAATGTATTTTCATTTCTGTTTGGAGCGTTAACATGTTTAACAATGTTTATATCGCTACGTTATTTATTATAAATTGCATGCATATTTATTTCAGTAAACATATGATACTGAGCAGATGCAAATCGGAGATAGTTCGAGTAATGTAGGATATAATCTGTCTTACGGATGTACTCCTAGAACTGTAAACGTAATATTGGCGAGCAGTCTGAAAGAAAGCTGTAGTCAAAACAAGACCAATTTGGTTTTAAACTTTATCTGTTTCTAAACATGAAAATGATCACATTAGTACAGTAAATAAGGAAATTACAGTTACCAAGTGAAACGAGCAAACATACTGACAATTATAACGTGTTTTACGGAAATGAATAAAATTATGAGTCACAACAATATAAAAGGATAATAATGTCCTTCGATTAGTAGGTAACTTACAACCAAGATAGTTTACCGGCACGTTAGATCAGATCACGCGTTGAATGCTTAAACTACAATTTGATTGGTTGGTTATAGCATAACTACAATTAGTTATGGAAATAACTAACATTCCTCCTAAAGCGGTCACCATGTCTAGGACCATTGCCGTCCCGTTTGAATAATCGGCCTCTTCTAGTGGGCATAGGTTCCATATATCTCGGTTATTTATAGCATAACTACAATTAGTTATGGAAATAAATAATAATTACTACCTAAGAAAGAACATGGTCTGTTGACGACCATGTTTCGACATCAAATATGATCCAGGATTGTAATAATTTATATATATATATATATATATATATATATATATATATATTATATATATAATTGCTGCTGCCTGTATGTGGAGTTGCTGAAAGGACATAACTAGTTTTGAGATCATAGTCAAGAAATTTTCAACTTACATCATGTTTTGATCTAGGTGGGCACTGAAAAGATTGCACGTATAGCAAACATTCGTCATTATCAGCTGGCGCTGCCTCAACTGTAAGAAAGTTGTCTTTTTTGGTAGGCTTTTGGTAGTGCTACAGATATAACTCTGTGTTTGCCAAGCGTAATTGTTACTCACTACTTATTATTGATAGGGCTTCATGCAAAGAACACTGAAAGGTTAAAGATGAAGACTCGTATATGCACTAGAAAATGATTTAACAGTTACCAACATGGAATCGAAAACGTTCAATAAAACGTATACGACAACAATCACTTCTCCAGATCGAAACGATATAAAAGGCTAGATCTTTCCGGTTAGTTCTTATTTACTGAATCTGACAAATGAGCGAAGGATGGTTCCGGACCTATAAGATATTGTTTATCATTTGACCTTGAAAGACTTTCTCTATTATCACTGTCACACACAAAGAGACATAAGTTTTGTCGGAGCTGCATATTTACGCCTAATCTCAAGTTTTCACATACAGATATGAAAGAACTAAAAGAATTTTTATCAAACTTGCATTTATTTTCGATAGTAAACGGGTTATATCTCGACTCACATATTCATTTATAAAAATCTAGTTTGAAATGTATTCAAAAATACAAAGACTATGAAGGTTTACACTTCACAATATCGTAACTGTGGAAATGAATTCAGTAATTTTTGTCTGAGAGTTGAGTTATGTATTTTATGTACGACTTTTTCTCAGATGCTGCGAATGAAAAAAGTATTTGGATTACAATACGAACTAATGCCGATTGATCAGAGGTAGTCTCTCCACATAATTTCGAGCAAACTTAAACTTTAGATAATGTCCTCATAACTCATAACAATCAAATAAATTATATTTTTATGGTTACGAGGCAGCATTTATTATCTACTGCCTAAAAAGTAATAAAATACACTTTTATCGTGCCTACGTCCATTAACAAATCTATCAATGGTCCATTTCCAATAGACTGGAAAAAACATCGAAAGGAAGAATTTCTTATCCATGTGATACTATTTGAATCAATTCACACTTGTTGCAAAGGTTACGGTGCCAAATTTGTTTCAGGCTCTCCAGTCAAGGTCACGTGAGTTCTTCGTTACTAGACTTCATTATAGTACTTCAATCTTATAACTGACCGAAATTAACGCATTTATAATGTATTTTTGTTATATGACGTCTCCAATGTGAGTGATGAATGTAACACTTTCTGATAACTCACTTCCGTTATTTTCCTCAGCCTATAATTATTGTCTTGACAGTTTTAACATTTCCCCATGCCCTTGGTGATTAGATTTCAGTCAAAAAAAACATTAAGGCTAAGCGAGGTTGTTCAATGGTTGGGAATAATTGTCTTTTCAGCCCTGTTTTGTAAGATAATTTGACTCACTTCAGACAGCGAAAGAACCTTGGCAAACAAAAAAAGAGGAAATTAAGGCAAACTCGGGCAAAGTAAAAAGGTCATACAAATTACCAGTATTGAAAAAATGAACCTTATTCGATGGCTCACGTAAATCACCTTTCGACTTCACAATTCATTGTCTTCAGTCTTTTATTTAGTTATGTGTAGTGCTCCCCGCAACTTACTGGATTTTTTGTAAGATGTTCACGAGCAAAAATGCCGATCTGAACATTGGTGTTGAAATAGTTTTCTGGTCCTTTGAAGTCAGCGAGACGTAGTGCAATTGGAAGAAATAGATATATACTCAGCGAAAATGCCAAGGTCTTCTTGATACCTCCATGGACTTTTTGTAATCAACTTCAGTTCATTTCCCTAAGGTCAATGGACGTTCTAGGTTAATTTTTTCAAGATATTAGGAGTAAATCTATGGAATCTTTCAAATGCTTTAGAGATTCACCTTATGTAATCAGAATTTTTGAGAAAATACCGTGAATGAATAAGAAACTTGGTTTTGTGGTCACATTTCCACACAATTTACAACGATAATTCCCCAGCTTAACAGAATTGTCACCAGATTCGGAAAATTAGGCAAAGGGTTGTCATTGGATTCATCAATTTATTAGCTAGCATGTAAATTCAGTAGTCCGCAGTAAATAATGTCTGTAACGGCTTTCGGTGCTCAAATCCATTTCTCAGTGTGTTTTGATGCAATCATCGTTTAAAAACTGTCAACTTATCGTTTGTAATTTTTTTTTATCCGATGATAGATTTTTGGTAAGCTCTCATTCTTTAAATATAAGTTAGTTATAAGGTGCATACTTGTTTTACCTTTATGTGAACGTCCATATTTTAATCAAGAATGAGCAATAGACTTTTTACATAGAATAGCGGGTTTCAAAATGTGTCATAAATTTTCTTTAGAAAGACTAACATCCAGGGCAGAGTAAAAATAAACTGAACTTTAGTACAAACTAATTTTTCAGAACAGCCAGTAGTCTGCTCTGGTTAGAAATTAAAAGGATTATATTTATAATTGAAGTATTATCTTACTGTCCTTAATATTCAGAATTTAAATTTAACATTCAGTCGTTTTGGACCTGGCACGTCACATAAAGCCCAAAAGAAAATCAAAGTAAAAAGAAGGATTAAAAATAATACTATATGTAACAAGAAAATAAACTTGGGAAATACAGCTCAAAAACCATCAAGTGATTCTATGAGCTAAGTACAAAATCTTGTAATTCGTTACTTGGTTGCATTGTTTCCTTCAAGCAAAACGTTATGACTTTCCTCAAGTTTCATGAAAATGAGAAATTATTGCAAAAATAATGACTGTATTATTTTGGCAAAAACTGATAAAGATGTGGTCGTCGGTTGTAGCAAGATTAACTAACTCGCCACAATTTTTCGTAAATTTATTGAAGGTACATTCTGGGGAAGCATTCAGGTTTCAACCATTAGATTGTAGATTGAAATTCCGGACTTCTTACTTTCTTCCGTAAAAACGCTCTATGTCACCATATTTTCAGACATGGTTTTTAAAGTAAACTTACACTTGATTATCACAACTTAAATCATGAATCTATCTTAGCTATACTACTATTAAAAACCTAGTAACACGGAACAATCGTTCCGTTCCAGGATGGAATTCCTATGTTTAAGGATTCTGCTAACTCCATAAATCTTTCATACTTTACTTAATTTCCGATTTGCACAACGTCTTGGTTTATAAAATTAGTAGCTCCATCTTTATATTACAAGTTATTCATAGAAACGTTCACTCGATACTCATTAGATTTCAGAAATGTCGTTAATGATCCAACTATTACTTAAGCTGCTATAAAAGCTAACAATGAAACTGATACATTTATTAAACTTTCCATAATATTTATAGCTAATTAAGCTGATCAATACACTTATACTTTTATGTACGAAAGAAATATTTGTGATCAATTAAGATTTGGTGTTTTATGATAAATGAGTGCGTTCCTTTTTGGTTTTATTCTCTTCACTATCTTCGTTAAGAGCGTATATCCTGACTGCCGTTTTTGTAGATTACACAAGAAAGATTCATTGCGTATTATATTATCATCGTTTGACTATTTTCAATATACCTTATTAGCTTTATTACTTATGATCAGACCCATACTTAGTTATATGATTTAATTATATATTTCTCTCGTAGAAACATGAACTCTTTTGACAACCCTGGAGAAAGTGGTCTGACCAATCCACGACAGGCTGAAATCGAGCAGAAGAAACTTGATATTGCATGTTACAAACATAGTCTGGAGCTAAATCGTGTTGCGCTTAGCAAGACTATCTGGGATATACGTAATTATTGTTTCACTAATGCTCAAAATGATCCCTTACTCTGTCCCCCAAGAGACAATCCATATAAATCCCAGCGATCGTGTACAGTTATCTAGGCAATTGATAGTTACTTTCTTTTTATATATATATGCATATATTCGCTTCCTTGATTATGACTTACTTAAAATGCTTTTAATTATTTCACGCTATGTAAAATGTGATTTTAATAACTTATTTGCAAATATTAAGTGATTGGTACAGATACTGTTGTTGAAACCAACATCAACAGAAAAATGTTTAAATATATTTATATTGAATACGTTTTGTTTCTTATCCAAAACGTATAATTACGAATAGTTCGACTGTGGTTTCCTAATATCTTGACACCGAATGCGCTGGAAAAAAGTATATTCACTTCGTGTAGTTATAACCAAAAACTGAAACGTAGATCATCCCAGAGCACACCAAATACAGAACTGTTCTACGATTAGAGCATTAACACTTTAGTAACTGTTGACAGCGCTTAGGTATCTTTCTTACGTGTACCTCGCATAGTACTTCTCTATGTTATGAACGAAACGGGCTCTGGTTGCATATGCTCCGCATGAAGAAGTAAATTAAAAATGGCCATCCATGAAGTTTTATTGATAAAATTAAAAAATCCAAGCCTCCGAAAATATCACCATTTTCCGTAACAAAGCTACTTATATGGATATCGATTTCGAGGGTCATTTAGCTGCTTACTGAAGCGAAAAATCTCAAACCTCAACAAATTTTTCTTTGCAGCTGGTTTCCTCTAGCCGAATAATGTTGAACAATAATCTAAACGATCGCATCTGATGAATCCCATGTGTTCATCAATTTACCTGTTCATGTGAAGCTAGGCGAATATGTCATTCAATGCGTATTCCGTCATAAAGAATTCTCTCACAACTTTCCTTCTATCTTTCTCGCCATAGACCTTTTACCATTAAACAATTTTTTTTCTGTTACTGTTATCCTCCTGTTTACAGTTCATCTCAATTTGAAAATTCTGCCTGATTATTCTGAGCCCTCTTTTTCCGATAACTGTCGACATTTAAGCACCCAACAACAACATTATTTTTAATCCTCACTATCAGTATCTTTAGCAGAAAATTTTATTACCACTATTGTAATTATCATCATGTGAAAAAGTATACATTTGCGATAGTACAGCTTTGAAAATGAATTCGCTGAACCAGTTAGCTTTTTATAAATAATAAAACTACATATTTGTCCATGCAAAGTTTACCAAAAAATTGAGTTATACAAAGGATCTTTTATTGACCGTTCCTGTAAATGTATCCGTAGTCGTTTGTTGACAGTTGAATCCTAACAATTCCTAGGTGAGTCCCTAATCAGATAGAAATTCCCGAACAAATAAAGTAGATCTCATTCTCTTGTAATGCAGACATGGAAAATATCTAAAAGCTTAATTATACTACTGACAACAAATTAACTAAACTTTTGGTTCACGTAGTTGAATCTCGACAGTTTTATTTCATTGTATTGTGTTGATCAAAAGACCAGTTGTCACATTACAAAGTTTATATTATTGTTTATACGGGTACTATTAATATGTACATTAAAAATTGTAAGAACATTGCCACAAAAATTAATAATTTATATTTTTATCAGAAGTTATTGCTTCGGTTAATAAATCGCAAGCTTTCTTATGCTTTGGCCAGTGCCTTACTTGACATTCTCGGCCACAATACCACTCCTGACGGCATCTTGAACACCGTTTAGATGCAATTTCCCCACATGTTGGACATCTTGGTGCTGGATACTGTGGATTGTCATCGGCTAAATTGCCTAATGAGGAAGAAAGTAATTGACTGAGATTTTCTTCAGAAAACGTGTCAGTCCACTGCATTGCTGCCTTTTTCGCAGCGTTTTTTCCATGGTTAGATTCAGTTTGTTCTTTGAATAATGCCACGAGTTTCCTCCATTTATTTCTATACCTAAAAATAAAATTTTAAAAAAATTTTTGTATTCGGTGTTAGCAGGGAGTAGTACCATGTGTCTTAGATTTCAGTGGTTGTATTTTATTATTTATGAATATATTGTAATTTTTCAAATCATTAAAATATCCAGATTCAAACATATATAGTCAAAAAAGTAATGGCGGTATTAAAATAACGATAGTATTTAATGTGGGGTACTATCTGAAATCTTATTAACCAATAAATCACGGATTTTCTATCCTAATAATTGAAACAATTTTCCGAAGTAAAGAATCTCATACGATGCAATCAAATGATGATGAATATATTCTAAAAAGCTTACACTAGTAGGGGCAACCATCAAAAAGGCACATACTAGGCGAGCCATTGAAAGAGCTGATAACATTTTTTTTTTAAGAATGCGAAATCTGTTCGATATACCCTGTAATCCTTTGCAGCCTCTACTAATCAAAAACCTAGTTTTCTAATTGCCTAATGAAGAGTCTACCTACTTTCAACAGATATTATGATCGTTGGAATCTGGTAACAATTTGTTATTCTTATCAATCCAGTCAAATTAATTTGTACACCTGTTTACGACAGCTCGGAGATAATCTACATGAAGGAATGTTTGTGTTGGAGTAAAATGTTTCACTAGAGTTCAAAATAAAATAAATCTGTTCTGAACGCTGCTGCCGTAGATGCTTAATCAGCAGTCAACAGAATAGATCGAGCAGCTTCTATAACAAAGCAAATCAAACATTGTCTACAGTGACAACCGGTTTGCTGTATGCTACATCAGCTCAACTTTTAGTTATTAATCTAACGAAATAGATCATTCGGCGCGTACTAAACGACTGTAGGAAGCTCTTACCTAGTCCATGTTCGTTGAATATGCCAAGTCAGTTACAACGCAGAACTTTGTACGTACGTACAAAGTTTAAGTTGCCATACATTATTAGCACAGAGATGCAATTGTCACTTCAGATCCCTAATAGTAGAAGTATTAGCAGTAACTGGAGAGATTAGGGTTCGACGATATTATTCAAGAAGTAGAATATAGTGAAATAAACTTAAAAGATAAAGGTGATGAAGGATGAATTTGAGAGAACACAAAGAATGAATGCACCTGCATCATTGCAAACAGTTCTGAGCCATGTCTTTCAAGGTCTCTAACCATCGATTAGTATCGTTTCGCGGGTCCCAATAAGGTAGTCTACACTTACCAACATAACTCAATCCAATTTTCAGGGACTTCATGGATTTGTGTAATGTTTTAATTTAGCCGCCGCTAGATTTCTTCTAACTTACGCCAACAACACAAACATTGCTCGTTGAGACAGTTGGTGGTTGAACATATGTATCAACCACATACTTCATCTATTGATTTTCCATCCCTACCTAGTACTCGTTCACTAACGACAGCATTCATCAGTATATAAATTTAACTTCGAGTGTGAGCCAGGAGTAAAAAGAATTTCAACAATTCACATATGGCATTGTCGGAGCATTTTCCTCACTAGTATGCTAATGGGGCATTCAAGATCTCGTCACCCTTATTAATGTAGCTCTACATATTTGATGCTATGAAATTCCGCATTATTTTTCCCCTAATTTAAATCATGATGAACAATAAAAGTGTAAATTCGTATGTACACATATTCAACAGCCTAAATGAATTGCACCAAGCTTTAAATTCACTATCTTGACTGACTACGACAAGTATATACGAATGCAGCAAAACACGGTTGTCAGTTCTGAGTCAATGTGTATGAAGGAAACTTTGACAATCAGAGAACCTTTAGCATCACATGATATAAAATTTGATTTGCACATCCATCATTTGGCAGCGGTGTCTTTCTTACGAGTAGCTGACGTCATAGCCTTATTTGGTAGTTTAAAGGAGTCATCAGTCTACTTAGAGAATTTAGTTGACAAACCACTTTAAAAACACCTGGATTGAGAGACCAGCAAAGTATGTTGGCCACAGGAATTAAGTTCCCAAGCCAGATTGTGGAACGTCTACCACTTCATTTTGTAAGATCTGTCTAAAACGACTGATGGGGTGGTATAGATGCTTTAACCAGTTTGTTGGCACCGCTTATTTGAACTTAAAGACATTCATTGCTCTAAAGACAGGATAATCTAAAGGATTTAAAATTCAGTTTTTTAAAGAAATTCAGAAACAGCACTTAAAAAGTGTACGTACTAAACTTGTTACAGATTACGCAAACAGATCGACGCCAGACTATCTATGTGGAACAGCACGTAATTTGAATTCGCATATCCGGGCGTATCAAACTGTTACGAAAACTTTGTAATGTATGTAACATTGTCTTCTGATTTCGTATATTGAGTTAATGTAATGCCGCGATTATTTTACTGTAGTAATCAATCGCCCTTTTATGCTGAAAAGTTGTCAACGTGTAGCGGGATTGGGTTTCAAATTTTAAACATTAATACTGCTTACGCCTGTTACTCCTTGTAGTCTTTTGAAAAATATAAAGAGAAGTACATTATTTAGAGGATCAAAATAAAGTTGCGTAATGATCGAGGGATAAAAGAAGGGCTGAATGAGTGAAAAATAATTATACATCTATGGAAAAATAATTAAAAGCATGAAGGTGGTAATAACAAATGACCAAAAATAAAAATAATGGAACAAAGTACCAATAACCAATTGACTGAGTATGAAAAATGCGGTATTAGAGTTATAGCGTAATGACAAATTGAATGTAATTATTTTGTACAAATAGCTTAGGCTCGAACAATAGAATACTGAAACTGCTACAGCTAAAAAAAATAGTAGTAGTTATGTAGTAGTTGGGTTTGTAACTTAAGATGAGTAATTAAAATTTAAACATTTTCACCTGTCAAACGTAAATCTGAGTAATTTTTTAGCTGCAATAAATGCTAACTTGACTTATTAATGTGAATACTTAGTAATACCGTGTTAATAAAAATTGCATAAGATCCATTAACTACGCTCCACCTGCTCATCTAATTAACATTAAACATAACCTAGTCATTTGACTGATTATTATAGGTTTCAACAATCTAAAGAATAAAAGTTCATTAAGTTTCACTGAAAAGTGTTTTATTCTGAATTCCAGTGAACTATTTTCACTTTAAGGGAATTGAATTGATAAGAATAACAAATTGTTGCCAGATTCCAACGATCATAATATCTGTTGAAAGTAAGTAGACTCTTCATTAGGCGATTAGAAAACTAGGTTTTTGATTAGTAGAGGCGGCAAAGGATTATAGGGTATATCGAACAGATTTCGCATTCTTAAAAAAAAATGTTATCAGCTCTTTCAATGGCTCGCCTAGTATGTGCCTTTTTGATGGTCGCCCTTATTGATTTTCACTTTTTTACATTCGCCCATGCGAACTAATACCGCTTTGCAGTATCACATAATACTTAATGAACTTAATATACTTAATAGAGTTAATACATCTTTTAGAAAACATACTTTTTTAAAGTTGCAGACTATCCAACTACTCTGAATGATTCCATACCTATTGATTCATTTGCCAGGTCCTGATATTTAGAGATTTCGGTCCGTTTTTACTGTATTTCATAAAAGATTTTATCAGACTTTAGTACTGAAACCACTGAGAGTAGCTGTGGCTTCATTTGTTCTCACGGTTAAATCTCCAAAGAAGTTATGTCTTGAATAAGAATTTTTTAAACAGTCTTTTAGTATTTTAGAACAATTTGCTTGCGGTATTTCTTAGTACATGTATACTGGGATTACTGACATTTGTTTGTTACATGAATGGAGAAACTTCTTTATCACTTTCACTATCTCATAAACATAAAATCGTCTGAGAGAAATTTTTTTGCCTGAATATTTATTATATTTTCGACTAAGAATAGTGAGTTTACTGAAAAATAAGTTTGTCTGATTTAGTATTTTAAATGTTGAAAGCTTCTTTTATTTTAGAGGTGAATTAGTTCACGATTGTTTTATATTTCACCTGAAATATAAATTTATCAGATTGCTTTTTATGATGTTATCTTATTCAAGCTGTATGAGTTCATTATGTTGCTTTTATCATAGTTCTGTACTACAGTTTCAGTACCTAAATCGATGCTACAAATCTCCTTTTTCATTATCTAATTACTTTGTTACAATAATAAAACGCACCTTGATTTGAACACTATTGGCTGTTGGATAGTCGCTAGTAGACTAGAGCTTGTAGTATTGTGGCTCATTACCAATCATTCATTTTGTCTAGCGTTACTACCACATCCATGTATATAACTGACCAGTGATCATTTTTAAATTTGAAAAATAAAGGTTGATATGTCGATAAATGTCTCACTATTTGTGTTGCGATTCTTGACTACTACAGCATATGACTTAGTATAAACATGAATACTGTGTCGTGAGATCGAGGAATATAGCATTATCCAACCCACTATCGATTACATATTTGGATTTTATTTAAGACCTTTTGTTGTCATCGGTGGGATTGAAACAGGCTTCACCAACATAAGTAGGGGTTTGAAATTGAGTCTCGTGACAAGACAACCATCTGCATCTCTAACAAATTATATTCTAATAAGAAGTTCAAGTCATCAGCCTGGTTAATTTATCGACCATGATAAGGAACACAAACATTAAGGGAAATGGCACCCGATACATCATCTGGATTTGTCTGGAACTACTATTAAGTGATTTCAAGTGTGATGGCAAAAAGTCTTGCCAGCTAGATTCTCTCAGTGCTATTCTGTTTTGTCGAAATAATAGTTTTGTTAATAGAAACATTCAGTACCATAACTATAGGTAACATACAGTCATAAATATTCGTTCAGACCTGTTAATAAAGTAAAAGATCAACGTGTGGTTTAATTGTTAAGGTTATCTTTAACCTTCCTGGTTATTTATGAAAACTTCATACTTTAAAAATGTTAGCACATACAAACTGTATGAATGTCTCCACAAATAGTACTGAACTGGAGCTGCTTTATCAATGTATAAATAGAATGTGAATCAACGTAACCTCTAAATTCTTTATATAAAGACTTACTTGCTAATCAAAGATTCACGAATTTCTGGCACCAGTTCAATAAGACACATATTAATTTTATCGCCTGTGCCTCCATATGATTCATTAAAACTTAAATGCTCTAAAAAGCGTCGCAGGTCAATCAAGACAGGCAAAACATCTAGTTTTACTTCAGTAAGTAGAGGACGTAGTTTCAATAAAGCTGCTCTTCTGTGGCCAACTGAACAGTCATATTTTAGGGAAGAACTATTGGCTAATAAGATTTGAAACAGACATAACCATATCTACAAATTGCAAAATAAAATAGGCTTTAGATTAAGAAAATCCATAAATTCTTCAATAAGTAGGTACTGGCTGATAGTCTTACCTGAAATCTAATACCGTTAACTGCTATCTAGAACATAAACTTAATTTTAATACCAAATTCATCGTATTTTTAATTAGTAAGTGCTTTTGTCTGGTATGTTTGATTCATGCTTCTCTTACACTGTATAACTATTTAATCGTTATTATGATTCACTGTTAGACATTTTCACAACCGGTTGCGCAGCCTAGAAATCTTCAAGGTAACTTTCTTCCCCACGTTAGTATTTTGTTATTCGTTTCATTAGGTCTCATACAGCCTCCTCAGAATATGGGTGAGCAAAAACAGTCAGTAGCTGTGCTCCTCACTCGCAAACTGGACGTTATGTGTTCAGCTCAGAAGTAGTGAGGCTTTCACATCTCACTGGAGAAACGCATTCCATATAGCTTTAGATTTTCTCCTTGATTTTTAAATGAGTCTGTCTCCTAGCCCTTTTCTGGATAAAAAAGTAAGTTGTCTATATCAGGTTGTGAAGAGTGTTGAAATTCAACGGAACTGTCGAGCTATCTTAGACCACCAGTGGAAGCACGAGACGGCTGTTTCTCCGCCTTAGTATGTGTCCTCAGTAGCGTGCATTCACGACCGATCGTGCGAAAGTCCAACCATGTGCGCTCAGACTTCCAGCCTCTAGACCTTTGAGCTGACATCCAGTAGTTTTATTTTCTACATTTGCGGAGTCGTTTCCCACCGCCTTTGATGGATGATGGCCTCACAACCGACACCAGAATTGCGAAAATTTCTTCTCGAAGCAAGTCACTAGTTTTCAGCTTGGGGTCTTGGAGATCGTTGTTTATTTATTTACTACTAAAATATCCCCTTTCTGTAGAATAAACGCACTGAATACAATAAACTGTTAAGAAGAAATATTTCTTCTCTTACTTTGTTGGAAGCATAAAATTTTTCTGAATAGTTCATTCTTTACTCTGTTTTTAAAATAAACAAAACCAGATACAAAGATAGTTTTGTTTTACGCATCAAATAAAACTTTAAAAAATCGTATCAGTTAAACTGTTAAATTATTGAATGCTTATTTATTCGAATTGAAATAAATATTTATAATCTTAGTTACCTGTGCTTCTGGTTTATGAATAATGCACGATGTTTTGTCATCTGGTATCCATGAGCCGTTTTCATGCCAAATATGTTGACGACGTTGTTTGTTAGATTTGTCGTAACCAATTATTATCCATGGTGTTTGTTCAAGTAATTGACAAAGTGTAATTGGGATATCATGTGTGTAAAGTAAACGACGTCCAATGCTCAGAGGTAATCCACTGTTTGAATTTAAACAATTTTCAAACAAATGTCTAACAATCGTAATAGCTTTGAAGCCCTTTTCATACTCTATAACCTTATATTGACGATCTAAGTCCTTCAAATTACTGGACTCACTAACCTATATTGTTACGAAGTAGAAATGAAGGCAAAGAGTTCTGATGACTTTTCATGATGATGAACAAAGTTATGTGACTAACTGAATGAAATAATGCTAAATCTGAAGTTTTATCATTAGCTTCTGAAATAAATAATAACCCAAATATGAAATATACGCATTTCAACATGTATCATACGATAAATCAATGACTGCATTATTCAGTTGATCTACTTATCTTCATCATTCTATCATTAAATGAGTTCGAAACTTCCTATCCAGTTTCTTTAAACATCTAGAAGTTTTGATCTAACCGTTTATAGGGTTTGGTAATTTCATCAATTAATTTGCCAAATCAATCAAAACTATCCAGTCATTTTCAGAATTTTCCGTTAGTTGTTGTTCAACATCATTTTTACTCGGTTACTTTTAGCCCAGTCTTCATTCATGACATTCTTGTAGTTTATACGCTCAGTATTCTATTCCATTAGATAAAAGAGGATGTCAGTTTGATAATTTAGGTTATCTTTTAAATCAGGTTTTCTTTATAAACGATTAAATATTGTTAGTATTTATGGAAAACGTTCTCCCATCTGTACTTCTAAACAGAAGCTCTAAAAAAAGACCATAACTAAATTGTATATACGTTATTTACATGAAAATTTAATTACTTTTCTTAGACGTACATAATAAACTAGTAACTAGAAGTGAAAGGTCAGTCAGTCAGTCAGTCAGATGCAACGTAGAACTTCGTACATAAGTACATCAGTTCATGTCGCCATACCACATCAGCACAGAGATGTAATTGTCAACTCAAATCCAATAGTTGAAGAGGTAGTAAAGGTATTAGAAGTAATCGGAGAGGTTAGGATGAGAAGATATTATTCAAGAAGTATGATTCAGTGAGAAAAGATTAGAAAGTCAAAACTAGAGTTGTTGAAGAACCCAGAAGGTTAAGATTTGAAAGAACACAAACAATAAATGCATCGGCGCCATTGCGAACGATTTTGAGCCATGTCATTCAAAGTCTCTAACCATCGATTAGTATCATCTCGCGGACCCCAACCAGGTAGTCTACAATTGCCGACATGGCTAAGTCCACTCGTCAATGACTTCATGGATTTCTGCCATGTTTTGGTTTGGCCGCCCCTAACTTTCTTCCAACCTATCCCTACACTACTAAACAAAGCTCAACGAGGCAGTCGGTCGTTAGGCATACGCAACACATGTCCCGACCACCTCAACTGATGAAGTGTCACTACTGCGTCTATTGATCTGCCATTCTTACCTAGCACCCGTGTCCTAACAACAGCATTGCTCACTCGGGTGTCCCATGATATACGAGCAATGCTTCGAAGACACCTATGATCGAAAACCAGTAACCTTCTACTCTCACTGGCCATGTTTCACAGCCATAAAGTAAGACGGAGCGAACCACTGCACAGTACACTAGTCCTTTAGTCAGCAAACGGATATCTCTTCTACGCCATAGGTGACGCAAGTTGGCAAAAGCCAATCGAGCCTCCTGTATCCGTGCAGAGATTTCGTCAGTCACTAGGCCATCGGCACTGATGAGACTCCCAAGATAAGTGAAGCGGTCTACACGTTCGACTACTCCACTCCCTATCACTAGTTCAGGTGCCGATGCAACCCAATCTTGAAGCAACATTTTGCATTTCGAGGGGGAAAACCGCATACCGAACATGCTTGCATTGTTGCTTATGGTGGTCAGAAGACTCTGCATTTTGTCAGCATCTTCACCATGTAGGACAATGTCATCGGCATATTCTAAGTCAATAAGCGAGCCACCTGGTAGAAGGTCTACTCCTGAAAATTCAGACGAGGATAAGGCGATTTCTAGGAGCATATCTATAAAATTAAACAAGAATGGAGAAAGTGGACATCCCTGATGGACACCACTTAAAGTAGAGAATTCCGGTGACAGTTCGCCATAAGCTCTCACTCGACCAGTGGTGTTCGAGTAGAGTGCTTGTATAAGGTTAATGTACTTCTTTGGTACACCCGACCGTCGCTGCTACCTTGACGTGGTGGTCGGGCTTGCCTATCGTGATGACCCAACTGAGCTATACTGGCTGGAACATATGTTCCTGCAGGTACTACCATGCCAGGCAGGTCGATTGGAGAACGATGAGACTAAAAGCAGCTACCCAAGGTCTGAGGGCGAAGTCGTACTGCTGACTGCAGAGGGTTGTGACAGCAGTAAGGTGTTTCCCTCGGACAACCAGCATCTGCAGCGATGCTGCCTTCTCACAAGGAAGGAAGGGTTAGAAAAGGTCGGCCCTAAAAATGTCACACCTCCCCTACCTCATGGATTTCCGTCTCCTTGGGTAAGGGTGCCCACTAAGGGCCTTTAAGAACGGAGCTAATCCTCAAAATACCTTTCATAAAAAGGCCTTGCGTGACCGGCCTCAAGCAGTTGTCCCTTGGACTCTGCGGTCACGCTCCCAGGTCTCCAAGACCAACACTAATCTATCTTCCTTTTCAGGTCCCCCAAGAAACACCCTTCCACGGTGTGGGCAGCCGGGAAGTGACAACCGCCCTCATACCCATAACAGCACGAGAAGTAAAAGGAAGCCTTAACGTTGAGAAGTTTAAAGCTTCAACAAATATGAACAGCTGGTTCGTAGCGCCTTTAGTTGGGCAATCTAAAACAAAGGCATTCTACAAGGTTTTACTATTATTATTATTATTATTATTATTATTATTATTATTATTATTATTAATTCGATCATTATTTTGATCACATATCAGTCATTTACTGCTCATACTTATCAAAACCAAGCGAAGTTTGTTATGTTGACGAACCAAAAATCCAAAGTAAGATTTGATCTGAAACCTAATAAGACAACCATGTTAGTGAATGAGGCCTAATTGATAATCATCAGGTTTTACTTCTCATTCTCAAAATCAAACCAAATGAAAACCCATAGGATCATTTGTAGACGTAAACAGAAAAAAGGAGAGATCAAGGTGCCTAGACTAGATTGGCAGAATACAAATAAATTAGGAGAATTTAGAAATATAAAACCCGATAAATATCTAAGTGATAGGCATATGAAGGGAGATTACTACAGACATACAAAATTTATTCTGAAATCGTTGAAGAAAATACTTCAAGGATACATACTTAGGTTGGTAGTAGCCCTTGATGTAAAGAGTTTGCACTAAATTTAGGTAGACAAAAAAGCTTAAGCCAGTCTATATCTTGTCTGTTCATCTTTTGCTCATTTTATCGTAAAGCACTTATTTAAAGCATGTCACTCTTTCTTCCCCTACTTCTCATTGTCGTAAAAGTAACTTAATAATTAGAATTTTGGAAATGTAGAATGAAAATTTTAACAACAAAACCAGAATTCTATCACACCACCTAAGTAAAGTAAAAAGATTCCGTACCTTACTAAAGTCGTTATTAGGAACATGAAGAATTTCTTAACATAAATCAATGTCTTCTACTTGGGCTATTGAAAAATTCGCCAGATTTTGAAAACTATCCACTGCCATGAATCTGATTTTACATGTAATCGTCTGCCTGGTCGACCTTTAAACAGAAGGAAGTGACACTAAACACGATCTTCCTTACACACCAGTCAGATTTTGTGAGTAATGAAATGGCTGCAGTATGTTTGATTTGAATAAAAAGCCCTTTACATCATTTGTTTTAGCAATACGTCAAAAATCATACACAGATTTCTAAGGAATAAATAAGTGTTTACTTATTTTCATTACTCTGTGTATATCGATTAATAAGTATCTAGTGTTCGATCGTCAGATATGTTTCATCTGGGATTCACACGCTTGAAAGACCTTTACTCTGAGTCTAAATAATTCTCACTCTATTCAATATGTTGGTTATGGTTAAATATTCTTCCGAAATAATTTACAAACCGAATTCGACAGTTAGTCACTATAGACCTATTTTTGCTCATGCCATGACAACACTTATTTGTCTCACCTCCCCAATAATATATAAATTCTCCGAATTTTGTCACATTCCTGATCAATAGCTTTTGCTTTTTATATACATGATCATCAACTAACTGAAATAAACAAACAAATATCTTTTATTGTCTTAAAAGCTTCTACAATTAAAACTTCCGTGTCACTTTGTTAGAATGGACACTTGCTAACTTTCGAATTTTTAATTAACTCTAGTTCTAAAATCTTAGCAAGACATAATTGTCATCAATAGCTTAAGACTATACTGTAAACTGAACATTATGGACCAAAACTCTGAAAATTGCCTGATAAACTCATACTTTGGCCTTCATTGAGTAAATTGTTGCAGGAGATAATTTCTTTTATTTGTAGGAGCATATCTGTACTAGAAAACCAATATTTCACTGATGATAATTGTTCTGATGCTTAACGGTACGGTAAACTGAGAGAGCTAGGTAAGTTAAAAAGTATTCAATATAACAAAAAGGTTTGAATTTTAACGACCCTTAAACTTTGACTGATTTTTTGACGAGTTACTTCGATTAAACCTATGAAAATCTCATAATTACCTTATTTTTTAATTCGAAATATATTGATTTTTCCTTCTCCGATGCAGATTGAATTACCAAATGACACAATGATCGATAACACCAATCTCCCAAATCAGTAACTGAATCTCCTAACGTTTCTACTGCATCATTATGATAAGTTACAGTTTCTAGTAAATTTGCCACCAATAATTCATGATAAATGATAGTATACAGAGGAAATGCAGATGTTGGTTCCTCTTTATCACTTAATAATAACTTAAACACCTTTTGCTTCCAAAGTTCGACCATAATAAGATCATGGACTAGAATTGGTATCTTCTGATGATTAACAAGAAACTCTTTGATAAATTCGTCTGACTGACTACGAGCCGAAGTAAAAGCCTGAAATAAAATCAATTACTATCTGATTTTACCTGCATATTTATCTTGTTTAAATACCCATGATAATTAAACCATCTTTCTAAACCAAAATCTTCATATTTTACGAGTTCCATGGACCGTATAAACAACTCAGCCTCCCCAGGATATATAATAAATCGTTCATTGTCCTTGTATTACAAAAAAATAAATTATATATCGTTAAACACTGCACTTGAAATGGCATACATTAAGTATGCACATAAATCGTTACGACAATAAACATGACTAACTTTGTCTTATTATTTAGAATAGATTGATAAACAAAAACTTAACGATGGGAATTTTTATTAAGTTGACAAACAGACGTAAATTCAGCACATTAGTTCATTAGCCCACGTTTCTAAACTTTACGTTAGAAAACTAAAATGGTATTTGTTTGAAAACTGCAGTTTAGTCAGCGTTGATAATGAGAAGCCAAACAAAGTACATGCCTTCAGCAATAATAATTACGTAATATAAATCAAATAGAACGAAAAATATCCAAACCAGATAAATTAATAAATGTATTACATTCCGCATAAATAGTCAGTCAGTCAGCTGATCTATGCCTCAGAATGAGTGGCAATCTTTTTTTGGGCCTCTCCATCGGTGGCTGATAGAGATGTGGACTAATTTGGTTCAGTTTTGAGTCTTTTATGTGGTCGCCATGTTGCTATTCACCAGAAATACGCGATTATCTGAGCATAACTGCAGCAGCAAACTTTTGACAGTATCCGTTAGATTAGCGGTGACACGAAGATCCACCCAGACGTCTTCCAGTTGCTCTTAATCTCCTACTTAGGCTTTCAAATAATCAGTCACTACTACTGAATCAGTGCCTAGGTTTTTAAAAAATGTTGAGGAACTGCCTGTAAAATCCATCATTTACCTCACCCAGCTACAGTCAGTAGAAGCGTATGCATAGATAATGAAGAGACAACAACCAGTGTCCCTATCTTCTTGTGTCTTTATCGTCCCATTCGATCGGAAAGTGGAAGAGCGACTTTCTACTCGAATCCAGTCTAGAAGAACTAATTGTGCTTTAGAACGAAATGCTATACCTATACCAGCGAGTTCATTGGTAGTTAGCGAGATTCTAGAGTCCTAACTAAAGAAGCCTGTTGTCCTATTCGGCACAAGATTTGGACACTAAAAGCTCCAACATATTGTTTAGAGCTTGGTTTCAGAAGGCTTGGGACAATATTTATTGAACTCTTGAATCACCAGCAACAGCGGCACGGTTATGAACGTATAGGTGATGGGTGACAGCAATAGGTGGGGCAAGCATCTGATGGTGAGCTAGTTGACATCATGTTGTAAGGGGTATGAGAGAGGATGTCTTTTATCGGTTACACACACGGTGGAAAGGTATTTCTTGAGGAATCTGAATAGGACATTGGATTAATGTTGGTCCTAGGGACCTGGGAGCATGACCACAGAGCCCAAGGAACAGTTGCTTGAGGTCTGCCGCGCATGACATTTTACGTGATATTTTTGTAGTGCTCGTCAAATGCCCTTACCGCCGAGACGGTAATCTGTGGGGTAAGGTGAGGTTTGACGTTTTAGGGTAAGTTGGTAAACAATAACATAGAACTTCGTACGTAGGTACATCAGTTCAAGTTGCCATACCACATTAGCAAGGGGTTGCAACTGTCACTTCATATCCCATAGTAGTAGAGGTAGTAGATGTATTAGGAGTAATCGAAAATTTTAGGGTCCGATAACATTATTCAAGAATTAGAATTCAAAAACAAACTTAAAAGAAAAAGAAAAAGGTGATGAGTAATTCAGAAGGTTATGATTTAACAGAACACAGAATGAATTCACCTGCACAGTGGAAACGGTTTTGAGCTATGTAATTCAGGGTCTCTAACCATCGATAACAATCATTTCGCGAGCACCAACTCCGCCTGTAGAGCCTTCGTGGCTGCTGCTGTTCTCAAGCCCGGATAAAGCAGTAGGGTTAGGATTGGGGTTGGCGATCACATCCCGCAAAAAACTAACTTGCTAAAAACGCTAGCAAGAAAAAACTAACTCGCTAAAAAACGTTTTTAGGGTTGACCTTTTCGGACTCTTTCCTTCTGTTATGAGAAGGAAGCACCGCTGCAGATTCTAGTTGCTCGAGGGAAACATCTTACTGCTGTCTCACTATACCACAGACACCAGTACGACTCCGTCATCAGACCGTAAGGTGATGTTTTCAGTTTTACTATTCTGCAATCAATCATCCTAGCATTGTGAGACCTACGAAAAATTGTGGTACAGACAATATTGTTGGGTCGGATAATCATGATAGGCATGGAAAACTATCGTGTCAAGGTGACAGAAACGGTCGGGAATATTGAGAAAATATCACAATGAACATCAACGAATGAATCTCAAAGTTGACTGTTTTCTTGAGGTTACCATTTAAGAAGTGCAATTAAGCACAAAATGACCCAGAAATTCATAATACAGAAACTGTACTACTAAAATTTAGTGCTGCAGTGTTTACGATCATAGTTCTATCTGTATAAAGTGGGACGAATAGTGATTTGGATCAGAGTTCATTCAAAATCCAAGACCACAATCAATCCAGCTGATAGTCAACGGAGATTAGTTTTTGAGTCAGTTAGTCAGTTACAACGTGAGACTTTGTACAAACGTACGTACGTACATCCGTTCATGTTGCCATACCACATTAGCACAGAGGCGCATTCGTCACTTCGAATCCGATAGTAGTAGATGTAATATAGGTATTATCAGTATTCGGAGAGATTAGGGTTTGAGGATATTATTCAAAAAGTAGGATCTAAAGAAATAAACATAAATAGAAAACGATAGAGGTGACGAGGAAATCAGATTAAGATTTGAGAGAACACAAGGAATGGATGCACGTGCACTATTCCCTGTCTTCCAAATTTAATATAATTTTTGTGAATGGATTAACTTTTAATTACATTTTTTTCAGGATAGAAACAAATTTTTGGGTCTTTTTACACATGACGCTATTTCACACTGCGCTGTTTCTAACACATCACCAAACACGAGATTGATATATTTCACTGTATAATTTTACTGAAAGACGTTTACGTATATCCCCCACTAAACTTTTGACGGATCGATGATTCGTGCATGAGCACCTTTTCAAGTCTTAATACACTGATGGTTTTTCTATTACATGTTTCCACTACTTTTGTCGTGTAATATATTAACCAGTATTCAACGAAATCTGGATGCGTTATAGAAGAAACAAAATAACTGAGGGTTCTACACCTCAGATACTTGGGTAGTGAAACAAGATACAGTTAAATAATGATGCAATTAATTATTCACTGAAATTCGTCCCTTCGCGTTTTTAAAAGCTCTTTGTTGGCTAAATAATCAGTCTGTTACGAGAAGTTCTTTTAATATTCTTTACATTTACGAAAGTAATTCATATCAATAAGCATTGCCAGTGGAGATAGATACCTTGCTGTCCGTCTTTCAATGAACATATCAATTAACTATTCGGTTGTTCGCATTGTAACGGACGGCAGAATATTAGTTTAAGTACGTTCGAGTGGCAGCATGGTTTGGATCAACAGAATAAGAGTGAATCTATCTGTCACGACCTAGTAAAGTTAGTCTCCCGAAAAATATTCCTAATTACTCAATTTGATACAATTTAACTTATTCGGTTATCGTCACACTTCACTCAATTTCGAAAAACTCGAGACGAAGATCGAATCCATTTTGTGTTCGATACTAGATATAACAAATAAGAGAGATCGTTGATTGACTTTAGGTATACGATAAAACACATTAGCCATCACTGAACATTTATGTAGCCATCATGTTGTGTATATCAAGGGATTATTTGAGTCTAGCTGAATTCAAAGATTTTATAAAAGAATGAAGTTTGATCTTAAACAGTATAGACTAAGAATCTCATACGGATGTACTTCTACAGCCGACATAAAAAAACCCAGGTAAATATTCTTTATTTTACAATTTGATATAAACCTTCCGCACCTGCATACCTGCCATATGGGAAAAGTAAAGTCTTATGAGGAAATCAGTAAATTGTGACATTGACTGTATCCTAATATATTAAGTTATTAGTCACTACGTATCTCACTTAAGAAAAGTTGAAAAATGCACAAAAAGTAGTCAGATAAAAGAAATGAGTCCAATAAGTTACTCCCACCTCCAACATTACAAAGTAGTTATTCGCTCAAACAATGCTCACGGTTGTCATAACGATAATGCAACAAAACAAATCCAATATTTTCAATGATTTTTCTCTAGCTAGTATATATTGGTTGATTTTCTGTGTTCTTGTTCTTTTGATGCTGTGCTAGCTGTCTGGTGGTGTACAGTAGATTAAGGTCTAGCAACTCGTCTGACTAATTCTAGTAACTAAGCCGTCGTGTGTATGCATACCCCGTTAATTAAACCAATACATTTGTTAAGGACACTAAGGTTTCCAAAGTACATATGTGCAAACTTTTACACTCCTGACTGACTGCAAGTTTCTGTACTAGGATCCAATTATTTCAGAGATTAGAATCAGTACCTGCGTTTGTAGACGGAATCCAATCGAGTAGGTCCAAACATACGACTCAGTGATTGTTCATCGAGATTGTAAACTATTGAGTCATGAACATTGGCGTTCCATTGTATCCAATGCATTCGCATTAAAACCTTTTAGTCTTAATAAGATCTCGATCGTTTCCTTATATGCACCGGTCTTACTTTTATATTCTGTAAGTCAGAAAATGAAATAAATACTTTGATTTAAATATTTCCACTTTTAAAACCATCAAAAAGCTATATTTCAAATTTCTCACAAATGCAGTGTGTAGTAGTACCATCAGTTTGCAATTAGTTATCCGTCAAAATCGAGATTTGATGTATTATTGATGGGAATAGGTAAGATTTAGTTGCGTCTGTGTAATGAAACAAGGAGAATGAATGCTGTGTTTAAACTGCCTCTTGAATAAACAATGCGATTGCTTAATAGATTGTATGGAAATTCGTAATACTTATGCAAGTATAGCTTTTGTTCGATTACGCTAGCATAAATGTGAAGTATAAAGCCTGGCAAAATTAATCTTACACCACTGTGCCTTCTCTTATGTTAGTTCGGGTCTCCAACGGAACGTCAATTTAGTTGGGACTTCAAATATTTCTTGTTAATAAATATCAACAGGCAAGAGCTTAGTTATTTATTCATTCTTTTGAACACAACAACTACTGGTATAAAAGAGACACCTAAATAGTGATGTTCTACACAAATTATTGAAACCGTCAGTCAATTACTGTCATCCCAACTATCCTTTAAAATATACTTTTGATCTTTATTCCTAACTTTTATTTTGACTTAATTTTGGTATTCCCTATCTGTAAGGTGTCGCAGACCAAAGCACTATACAACTCTGGTTATCTGTGACATCATCAGGAGATACATCAAGTCCAAAATCATTTGTTAGTAGTCTCTAATGAAAACCTGAAATCATTTTGAGACCGAACTGCAGGCACTGAGCCCTTTCCAATGCTGTGCATTTACATGTAGACAACTCTGGTCACGTTAATAGGCTTCAGTAGTGTTTGAGGCCAGCTTACCAGAAGGTTTTAGCCTAAATTGCACATGTGTCTACATCTCCTTTACTTCTTACACATCCATATACCATCAGCGTAAATTAGTATGGAGGACTCAACAGTGTTCGGGAATTCACTTACAAATAACAAAAAAATAAAGGACCTTAGAATACAGTATCGCGGTGTTTCGCTATGTACTGGTTTTCAGGAGGAGCATTTAGAATTTGTTCTCACTCTCTAACTTCGACCTACCGAAAAGTTTTTGATCCACCTAAGAAGAGGTCCGGCAATCTGCATTATTCGTCACCTTATCAAATACATTGTTAATAATAATAATGATAATTTATTCTCAAATAACTACGTTACAAGAGTCACGCCAGTTTACAGGCTAGATCAAATTGTCACAAATGCTTTCACAATCACTGTAAAGTTATAACAGTTAAATTAAGTATAAGAGTAGTTTCTGATTGCATATTTACACCATGTCACTGACAGAAACAGTATTAAACAGCCTCGTTTTCATTAGTAGAGTACAAATAAGGAAGGAAAATGCACAATAGGTTCTTTTGGCGATTTGCCGAGATCAATAGTGAATTTGTTGGGTAAGGTCATATGGAACGCGCTTGATACGAGCTGTGATCCAGACAGTCATGTACCTAGGGTGCATGTTCCCTAGAGTAGCCAAGGATTTCCCACCGTGAATGGGGTTCTGAAAAGATTAAGAGAGAGAGAAAAAGGCAGCAGTGTGGCAAGTGTATATATATAACCAAAGCACTACTTAACCTGTCATGTTGAAGTAGTCAATACAGTAGTAAGTCAAGATAAAATTCATACTGACCACTTAAATTAAAGTAAATTATGGGAATATAAGAATATAACGCACAGATAAAGGAGTACAGCAAAAAGAAGGGAGAGTTGTATGTAGAATTCTTTTTGAATGTTTTGTGTTTTGGAAAATCCCTCCATGTTTACATATTTTTGCTATGACATGATGGACTTTTTCTCTTGACATTTTTGGTATTTTATTTGATTCCAATTTGAGATTTTACCATTGTATATTGTTATTCTTTCTATATTTTGTACTTATATTGAAGTTTTTGTGTTTGCTTCTGAACTGTACATATATTGTTTAAATCTGATATAATATGGCTACCGCCACATTTTCGGACGGACGCGGTGGCTGCTGGACTTAGCTTCACTTATCGGCTATTGTGTTGGATACTCTGCGGAGTAATTTAACCCTGGAAGAAACACAAATTCCGTAAGACTTTGTATTTCCATTTTACAATAATATAGAGACGTTTTCTCCTAGAATTTTGCCCTTTTTGATTTGGTCGGGACCCGGAACTAGGAAAAACGTACAGGAGTGTTTCTGTTGGAAACAATTGGGACAGCCACTGTCGAAATAAATCTACAGTCTGGAATTTTCTTCTTTCGTGGATTATACTTTGGAAATATTCATCAGAACGTATATATTTTGGAACTATTCGGATTATTAAGAATTACAAGGAAACATTTGGAATTTTAATCGTTTATCGTATTTTTGAACTGAACTGTGGAATTACTCTATTTTGTATCTGTTACCTTTTCTACTGAACTTTATTCATGATGTCAAACAGAAAAAAATCACACATGAGGACGGTGGAAGAGCTCGACGGATCACAGGGCTCTAGGCAAGTCGTTAATGATAACTTTTTTATGGGTAACCCACATGTTATGTCTGATATTTATTATTGTAAGTCATCGATAGAGGGTTTAGAACTACCCAAGGTTGAACTCTCATTTTTTGATGGAAGGTCTCGCGACTATTTTAGGTTCATACGACAAATAGAGACGTTTATAGAACCTCGAATAAAGGATGATCAAGTGCGTTTATTGTATTTAATTCATTAATGTAAGGGAAAAGCAAAAAATGCGATTGAAGGCTGTATTATTATGGATCCACAATCAGGATATAAGAGAGCTGAGGCCATTCTAAAACAGCTCTTTGGACAGTCGCATGTAATAGCCCGGGAAACCTTAGAGGACTTATTTAGAACTGGGAACGCAGATTTTAATGATCCTGAATTATTGACGAATTTGGCTATTAAAATGCAGAATGCTGCTTTAACCTTAGAACAGCTAAATTGCACAACGGAACTTAACTCTATGGCTACTTTAGAACGAATAGTAAGGCTCTTACCTCGTCGAATGCAAGCCCAGTGGGCAGAGCTAGTATTCAAGTGGGACGAAGAGGAGAGAGAGCCCAATTTTAACGAATTGACGGAATTTATTATGTCTCGTGCTAAGATAGCTAGTAGTAGGTTTGGAAGATCAGCTTATCAGGCTAAAACAGGAAATAATACGGAAGCTACTAGTGGTCTGCGTGTGAGACATGAGGATTTTTCGTTTCTACCTAAAGCACGCTCGGAAGATAAGAGATTTGTCAATTATATCACGAAAGCATACGCTGATGAAGGACGAGTATGTGACCGTAACGATGTAAAGCCTCTTGATGCGTGTCCTAGCAAGAAGCCGGTTGATGTAACAGATAAGATGGCTTTTCTAAGTGTAGAAAAGAAAGAAAAAGGCGAAAAGTGTAGGCATCAAGATGGATCCGAAGTGTGTGATGATAAAAGCCTCTTAGCTGCTCGAAAAGCCTGGAATGGTTATTTGGATTCGAGTAAACAGAGGTTAATGAGTTCAGCAAATATGAATAAAGCCCAGGCAGGATTGACTGAACGGAATAAAGCTTATTTTCGGAACCCTTCAGTTAGGGTAAATTATATAACTGGACCTAGAGTAGATTCTAGGATAAGTGATGGTGGTACAGTAACGGCTAAGAAGCCTAGGAGACATGATGCTACTATTACTAAGAAGCCTGAACCTCATGCTCTTTCGGATGCTACGACTAGCCATGGAAATAGTAGCCATCAGAACCTTAGTAGTGACAGTGATAATAAGGATATAGAAAGTGTCAGCAGTTCACTTGTAGGGACTAGTTTGTCAACTTCATCGAATGAGCCTCCTAGTGTTTCGACGCCATCGGACCTCGTCACGAAGGTTAAGTTGATTGAAGATGCACAAGGTTGTGCAACTGTAACTGTTCCTATTACGGTCGACTGTCAGTCGAGTGATGATGAGAAGAAAGTGTTTGATGGTAACAGCCAGTCTACAGTGATATGTGATGACGATGCTATTGTTGAGCATATGTCTTGTGCCGCGGAAACGGATGCTAATGCAGAACGGAATCATTTAGACGTTGACAATAAACTGGATGTCACTGATGTGACAAATGAGTTCCCGACGATGATGAACACTGTTCAAACCTCCTCTGCATCAGGAGATGGAAGGATAAATATTGATCCTACGTCATGCTACTTAAAGTCTTCTGGAGACGATGAAATGTCAAAATTGGAGATCCCACCCTTGCATATTATTTATGGGTCAAAAACTTCTGTTGATAAGTTAGCATCACGGACTGCATGGTATCTGCTGATCGGAGCAAGTGGTGGTGGATTGGCGACTCGTCCCCATGAAAGAGAATGTAGTCCTTGGATAGGATATGACCAGTTTTGCGACGTGTTGTTCATGTTCGTATGGGTTAATTGGGTAAGGTTTATACTACCGTTAGGTCATTCCACGATAGATAGGGGAATCAAGGGCCTGATGGG